CTCTGCAAGCACTTCCTAGTAGGGTGTTATCGTGTTAGCACCCAAACAGACATCTGATTGCGGGAGAACCCTCGCCACGGCACATCAGAAGGCATCTATATGAACTGACGGACGAAGTCCGGGGTTAATAAAACTATCTCTGAACCCAACAACTTACCGACAGGCCTTGAACGAAATTCAAAGAGAGCCAATCCCGAGTTATATAGACTCTCGACCTGTGAATGCCGTTCTGGGCACGCAACCACCTGACATGGACGAGGCAGAGCTTCGTCTGCCTCGGGAGACTCGGACCACATAGCCCAACTTCGATCGGGCTACTGCAGCAGGTTGAACACATACCTGAACAGAATAAATGCAGATGTGCCAAATGAATTCCCGTCATTCGGAGAGACGCTCCATGACACGCAGCATCTCTTCGCATGCCCACTGAACCCCACCCTGCTAAGATGTCGTGGCTTCACGCTTCCTGGGTCTACCGCTATAGAGCTTGACGACAACGATACAGCAACAACAGGAAACATGTGTTGGCATTAGCTGTGGGAAAAGACGACACTTCAGAGTTCTTAAAAATTTAACTTTAAAAGACGCACTGCGTAATAAAATTGATTTTAAAGAACAAAAAACTCAATCTGGATATAGTGAACAATCTGTTTTCTATGAACTGGTCTTGCATTAATTAGTTCGCTCGACCCAGATAGTACTGTATGTACATACATACATAAATTGATGTACATATTTGATCGTACATACAAGTAGCTCTTAGTAAGCTCTACTGGGCGTATGAGTAACTAATAAATAATGAGGAAATACATATCTCCGTAGAAAATAGGTGCACGTCATAATGCCTTACCAGCAGCTTAAGCGGCAGATAGACCGGCCTCGAGCCTAAGGAGGCGAACTGCAGAACCAGACAGGGGATGAACGGTAAACTGGGCAAATTCGGATGCAAGCTTACCCAACTTGCGAGCTTCAGCCCTCGCAACAGAGCTTTGCCGATAGTCTTATTTTCACCTGTAATATCTCTGCAAGGCATTCTCTAAATGGTTTGCCAAGCGTGCGTAATCTTCTTCTGTTATTTATGTAAGCCAATAAAAGGCCTTACAAGGAAACTCAAGAGCACAGGAGGGTTGCTCTGTAATGATATGCGGTAGCAGAATTGGGGCTTCACGCATTTATTTTTTCCCCTTTCGCATTTTAAGGCTCACTGTACCGGATTCGTAAATGAAAGCAATGCAGCCAACGCAATCTACCAACCATGCTTAATAAATAAAGATTTCTTTTTTATCTTTTTAACAAATATGATATATATTTTTATTTCATAAACAGCGATTTTAAAACTAAACGATTTTCGTTATTTATTTCAAGAATATGCAGGCATAATTAAGATTCAATTTGAAACATTTTAAATACTGCTATATTCTTTTTCATTTAATAACTAAATTTATATTAGGTATACATTTGCAAAAAAAAATCCAACGAATAATTACACTGTAGGGAAAATTTCAAGTTTTGAAATGACAGTGCGACAGTAAATTTTGCACACACAAAAGAGTTTTTTAAGGACTTTGAATATTAAAAAATATGCTTATTTCAAAAAATTATTTATCAAATTCAGTGCAGTGTAGGATGACAATAAGAGAATACAATTAAAAAGATAACAATAGAGGAAGAATTATAACAGAATAAATAAAATAAAATTGCATAAGGACGAATGCTTATAGAAAATCTTTTACAAATTTTATCCTTAAAAATTCTTGAAAATGTGCAATATATATTTTTTTAAAAATTATTGTTTGAGGGCTAATATACACACGAACTCAGCATCGAATTTTTTCCTGCAAACTTTATTATCTTAAAAAGATAAAATCTATTAAAAACACATTTTCAATACCTGTTCGTCCTCATAAACCAAAATACTATTGTTTCTAAATTCTACAGAATTCTACCCATATTGTTATTCTTAATTTCACTGATTTTTATACCCGAGCGCACTTGTGCACAAGGGTATAATAACTTTGTTCGCATAACGGTTGTTTGTAACAGCCAAAAGCAATCGAGATATAGAAAAATGTATACATAAATGTTCAAAATTAAAAGAGAAATCGATTAAGCCATGCCTGTCCGTCTGTCTGTCCGTGTGCACGATAACTCGAGAAAACATTGAGATATGTCCACGAAACTTGGTAGATAAGTTTCCCTTTATCCAAGGTAGGTTGGGATTGAAAAGGGTCGACCCCGGACAATAACTACGCCGACCTACCATATAACGGTATTTTTCTTTCGAAATATGTAAATACCACGATATTTCCGTAAATACTGGATCCAAATTGTTGAAAGTTGGTACGCGAAGTTGATTTTTGGCATAAAATAAGTCAGTTGTGAAATTTTTTGAAAATGGGCGTGGCACCGCCCACTTACGATAAAATGCCGTATCTCCGGTTGCCCCTCACCAATCCCCACCAAACTGGGTACGAACATTAAAAAATAAAAAAAAATTGTCGGTTAGGGTCTTTGTGGATTAAGGTAACGATATAATAATTTGGAAAAGTTTGTTACCCTTTAGTCGACACCTCGAATTTCCTTCCATGTTCCATCTTATACTTATTACACATTTTGCCTTCTTCGCTCTTTTTTGCCTCTTTCTGTTGTAACCAATTGGCACTAATGAACAATAACGCTCAACCCAGAAAAATAGCAAGCTACACAATGAAGTAGGTGTGTATGTATCCGGCCTTCTTTTTATGTAATCGTACATACTTTGTTTGATGATTTTTCATCACGTGTTCTGGCACGTCACGGCGTATGAGTAACTGCAACAGACAACGAAATTCTGAAATCCTCAATTAATGGCATAATCAACAATTGGCATTCACATAAGTATTTTGGAAGTGTAAATCATTTGCTGGTATTTCATATGTACATATTTCATATTATTTGCGCAATTCCGATTTCACAAAATATATGTACATATTTTTACCATAATTCATATTTTTTTTTTTTTTTGGCAGGAGAAGCAAAAAAACATTATAAAAATAATATCAACAAATTAGTACGGGACCACCTCTGAAACACTACCTAATCGATAGGGAAAGAATTATCGAAATCGGTTGACGTGGTCCAAAGTTACGCATAACATACATACAAAAAAAATTATTCCGACGAATTGATAACCTTCTCCTTTTTTTGAAGTCGATTAAAACAGGTAGGGCTTCTTAAAAAGTGGCATGTAACTCCGTTGTTTTATTGAAGGTGTATTTTAATATCTGCCACCAAAATCTGTCGCTCATTCGCTGGGAAAATGTTGCTTACACCCAGCTATTGTTTAACGTCACCTGAATCTGCTCCTTCACTACAAATAAATCAATTTCTGGATCTCACATGCCCATAACTTCTCCATGTCATTGATGACTTTCATGTCTACAAAATTAATGTATAAACTAGTAATCGCGTTAGCGGCACTGACTTTCTTACCAATTCTTTTGTCGAATTCTCGGATAGTGTTCTACCAAGATATGGATTGTATGGATGAGTAGGAAGAGCTTTTAATCTGCTCCCTGCTACATAAAATTTACAGAAGGCTTAGAAAATCACTGACCGCGTGCAACGTTTTGCTCCATCACTGCCTACTCAAGTTCATATGAAGTAAAAGCTCTCTGTGGTCAGCACTCATTTAGACTGGTAGACAAATAGAACTTTAATTCTTCGCACATTTTCAATGTATATACACAGCTTAAAAAGCTCTTCACGTGAGCAACATAGACGCACATAAGTTGGTTAAAAGCTTGCATCTTCATTACTTCTAAGAAATTAGTTTGTCCCTGAAATTTTTGGGGCCCTGCCTTTGGATCTTTCTGCCTAAATTATGCTCGCATAGGCATCCTTTTAAGAGCGTCCACCGGCACCAATCGAAAATTGGAGCATCCTTTTTATTTACGTAAATTTCCTTTGAACTAATAAAAGCACAAAAGTAAATCAAGTAATTTTTGTTAAATTACATAAGATCACTTTATTTAAAAAACTTAAAATAATTATAAACTCCCTTAAAGTATATTAAAAATTAAAACTTATTTTAAATATTCATGCAATTATAACTAAAATACACTAAAACTTTTATAGATATGCGAGAGTTACTAGAAATTTTGATAAAGATTGCAAACAGTATAAGCGGACCTTTCAGAGCTTTTGAAAGTGATAGACTTACAGTTAAGTTAAGGATGAGATGAGGATTTACAAAATCATTTTACACATTTTTTTTTTTTGTTTTCAAATACATAGCTCAGAAAGCGTTTACGCAGAGTTCAGCTTAAAACGCGACAAATTCAAAACGGAGTAAATTTTGGAAGTTCTCAAGAGAAAATTTCTCGGCACAAAAAACTCTATGAGCTTTTGGGGCTTTTTGAGCTTTTGAGACCCGTTGGACTTTAAAGATAGATAGGATGAGTCAGAGCTTAGGTCAGTGCTAAATTTAGAATAAAGTTGGCGGCTTAGCAAAAATTTGGAAAAATTGTTTGACACGAAATTCTCTTTCAAAATACATAGATGCCTCTTGTATAACCGACCAAATACTTCTCCCTGCTCAGGTAGCTTTTAAGCTGAGTTCAGCACATTGTATTTGTAAGGCTGAGTCAAAGTTACAAGTTTGCAAAGTAAATTGCTTAGGGCACAATATAACTTAGAGCATTTGTGTAGCTTATTTAGCTTTTGAGACTCTTAAGCTTCTGTGAAGCTCTTTGAGCGTGTGAGACTTGTTAAGCTTCTGTGAAGCTTTTTGAGCTTTTGATACTTGTTATGCTTCCGTGAAGATTTTTGAGCTTTTGAGACCCGTTGAGCTTTTAGTCAGAAAATTATTATTTATTTTGCTAGCTGATGCATTTTCAAAATAAAATTTATACTTTTTCATATTTCCCATTGCGCGACTGCGAATACCAGTGGCGTGTAACTTACAAATACCAAAACACAAACCTGATTTAAAGTTGAAGGTCACGCGCATAATTCTTCTAATCAACATTCCTTAATTCTGACTAAATTTTTTATAATCTCCTTAATCAAATAAGTTTTCAGTGAAATTTGTTGTTCAAAACTGAACAAAGAAATATATTCTCATAAGCAGATACCCCCATAACCAGAAAGCCCAAGAGTTTTAAGTGTGTAGTTATTATTTATATTACAACGAAAAGCCTACTTACATCAAAAGATCTCGCAGTCCATTGAATATAGAAAACTTATTAATAAATTGCAAAAAAAAATCTCTAATAGCCCCGTCAGAATGAGTACTTTGCGTACGTGACGCACAAAGATGCAACTGACAGTTGAGTAGACCGTGTAAGTTTGCATAGAGAACGTCAGATTGGCAACCCTTGCGTCGACGGACTCAACGAACGTTGGCCAACTCTCAACATTTGACGCAAGTAGGTCCGTCACTGCTGACAGTTGTATTACCCTAAGTTTATACAAGACAAGACACTTGATAATATGTATTATTTGTCACATTATTTGAAGAAAGTAGACGTCCAGACATTAAACAGGCTTCGAAAATTTTAAGTCATTGACGAAGACAATGAAAAAAGTTGGAATACTTAAATAAAAAATGTATGAATATATTGCTATGGTATCGGATTTTTGGTTGCAAACGCAACACCTTCATTGTGGCGCCGTTCTACGTTCCTTTACGTTACGTCAGTTTCATCCTTGAGCGTCACGTACGCGCAAAGTACTCATTCTGACGAGGCTAAATATAAGACCCTCATACTTTCACAAGCACATCATTATTCCGCTCCAATTTCTCACACTCTTCGCGTAGCTTTTCAAATTCATTTTGATTTTTGTCACATAGTTGCATTAGCTGCGTGTTGATCGTAATAACACGTTCGCGTAGCATCGGCAAGGTGCACTGTCTCAATCGGTCCGGTTGTTGGACATCTTCTCGTATAGATTTCACCTTATCGCGCAATTCCTGCACCTCGCGAAATGAGTTTTCACGATATACCTTCAAATCCTCTTCTAATTGCACTTTCATACATTCGATTTCATTAGCCAATTGCATTGCTTCAATGCCAGCCGTTGGCTGCGCAAACGCTGTGGCGCCATTGTTATTGTTGGCACTAGCCGGTGGATCCTCGTAGTTAGCCGGATTCAATTTCACCTGACTACATTCGAGATACTTTTGTTGGGTCTTCAGGCGCGTCAGCTCACAGAGTAGCGTTGTGCAGGATTTCTTCTTAAGCAATGTGTGTGCGTAAGTGCTGGTGTACCTAGTACCTGCACCTGCTGCAGCAGCACCTCTCTTCGATGTCAATGCTGCCGCCGGCGTCATCGTCGTCATAGTCGTAGTCGTCGTTGGCGCGGTGCTGACGCTTTGTTTACCAGCCAACGCCTTTGTTGCCGCCGGCTTCGCATTGTTGTCGTCGACTTTCATGCTAAGATTTTTTGTTGATGCTGCCACGTGGGAATGCTGGCTGTGCTTTTATGACGTGGATTGTGTGGCTGTCCTCCTTGGTCGATGTACTTGTTTGAACAACTTGTACTTTGGCTGCTCGGCTGCTTCAGTTTTTTCGCTCAAGGCGCTTTCTGAAACTCAACTAGGCTGAAGCTGGCTGTCGCTTGGGTGCAGCGTGCAGCGCCTATATACAATGTGCAGCGTACACCTTATTCAATCGTCCACTAGTTGTGCTCTTCTACTTTCAGCAGGACCTCTTACGTAGCCCTACTCGTAACGACACTTCATGCACTACGTAGCTATTTAACTAATCGACTGTCTGTGGCTGTCGCTACTACTATTGTGTGTTATTTACACCAAGTAATCAAACGTGATCCAGTTGCCACCACCAACCGTCGCCAACACCGCCGTCGCCGCAGCCTTTTTATGCCTTATTTGGCTCAACCAACGCAGGCACGTTCCCCTCCCACTTGTATCCAGGCTATGTGGTTGGTAGCCGCAGTTACTAGCCGCAGTGTCCTAGAAAATCAACTGCAATACTTTCCGCTCTCCCGTCCAGTCCGCCAGTCACCAATCTTCGTCGAGCCGCTTGTTTGCGTTGCGGGAATGTGTTGCGGGTAGTTTAATCGATACGCGCGCCTCTGGTAAAGCGCTGCTATTGTTTGCCACCTTTTTTATCGTGATTGTTTTGCCTATTCTATTTTTTTAGTTTTTGTGCTAGTTTTTTTTCCTTTTGCTTTATTTTGCTTTTACTCTGTGGTCCTTCCACTTTTCGCCATGGATTACTCGCTCGCTATATAGGACTCCATGCTATTTTACCCGCCTTCTGTCGTTGCACGGTTTCTGTTATAGCCCGAACACAATGAAAACGACGAGCTACAAACCACAGCTGTCAAATTATTTTAACACGTACTCTTATGTAGATAATTATTTTGGCGACGACCGAGCTACGCGACGGCTGCGGTTGTGGCCAGATTAGATCTATTTCTATTTTTCTGGCGACAGATAAGGTTCTTCCTCTTCTTTTATGTCAAACTCATACAAATTCATGATGTCGCTGCCGCGTTCAAAGAAATCATGTCGCCATCGACAAAGCGCTTAGATAATAAAGATGACAAATTGGAAGCTGTGGTCGGTAGCTCGTCGTTTTCAATGTGTTCAGCACTTTATTGTTACGTTAGCTCACCGCTATCTGCTTCCTACTCGCTGCCACCATACGATCTGTATTTTTAATAAAATTAATTGTTTTTTTTTTTTTTTGCTGCTCCTATGCTCTGATTTGCCCTCTGCCAACGCGCTCATCACACTAGCTCGCTCACTCTTTCGCAGAATGCTGAAGAACTAACGTCAGCCGCTTTTGACTTGGCTGGCATGGCCTGACCTGATTGCTTCCGAACACCACAGCGCGAAAGTTTTTAATCTTCTCTTTCGCTTTGATTTAACGATTTATTGTTTTTTGTTGTTCTCTTTACTCCATTCATTTTAAATTCGTGTCAAAGGTGACTAAACTTTGTGTTACTTTTCTGTTGTCTGGAGACCATTCTAATGATTACATAATATCTACATATAAAGAGTTTTGCAAAATTGTTATCGAGATACATACATATTTACATAAGTAATACGTCAGATGTACTTATCTATATTACGCAAATAATAAAAAACGCCTTACAACTTCTTGCAGACAGCAAAAAACCAACAATGTTGAGTAAGGATAGGCAAAATGGTCCGTTTGTGACCTGTCACAAGGTACACGTTGACACTCTTCCTGAACTTATTGTTTTCTAGGGACGTCTGCTTGGCAACGATCAGTATTGGCGTTCAATTCCCTTTATCCTCAACTTTGTTGGTGATGGCTTTCTAAAGATCTGTCTTCCTTTCTTTCCCATTTAGAGAAGGACGATGGATCTCTCTTTCTAATTTTCCTAGAGAACAAGTTCGATCTCCCGTAGCCGTTTCTGGTCTTCTAAAATAGGCTTAGCTCCCCGGAATGGTTCAGCGAGAAACAACATCTCTGCTTCGGAGCCAATATCATTGACGTGACTTGCCTGCGACAACGAATATTCAACGCCGAAAGCGCTGCTGACGGCGCGACTTTTAAACTGTGATCCGATTTGCTGAGGTTGTGTTAATAAATGTACCCAGTGATTAAAATTAACCGAGGGTGAAGGGTAAAGCGCAAGCACAGTGGGAGAAATTTACGGTATTGCGGCACACCAATATTAAAAAAAAAAAACAAAAACAGGTTGAGTCAGTTTAGCCAGCTCGGCTTTTCTTACACAAAATACTCTTTCAAAAAGTCATTTAATTAATTATTTAATAAGTCTTAAGTGCTCTCTAATTTTCTTTTTTTGTAATATGTAAGAAATGTTACTCTTTTCTAGATCAAAACCAGTAAAATAAATAAATAAAGTAAAAGGGCTGAACTTTGGCTTATCCACCTCGCTCTTCACCTGACTACAGTAAATATCTACTCTTATTTTCAAGCAACTTTAAGGTCCCTGGACAATGTAAATGCATAACAGGCGAACTTGTCAGGAAGACGGCCCACCTGTTTGATGTCAACTGCTCTCAGCATTAATTTCCTGCGAATCATTACTTAAACCGAATATCTGGTCCATAGCCGGTCTGGATGATCTGGCCCAACTTCGTCAAGAAAATGTCTAACTCATTTATTCGCCTGCTCATGCAAGTGACGGAAATAAAGCAGTATCTCTGCCACTGCCACTGGAGCTAGAAGATGCTCTTTTCACCTTTACTTCTCTGGCTGTCGCAGCGCAGCAGGCACTCATGAAATCTCCCGTTTGGCGATCACTAGTACTTGAAATCTGAATACGTTTAAGCTATTTCGTTTCGAATGATAACGTATCCAGAGGTCTACAATTTCTACCTTAAAACCACTGCAAAAGAATCTTACAGATTTTACGTCATACCTTAAAAGTGTACGCATACCGACACACATACCCAAATACATAAGTACACCTGTGATGTCGTAACACATCCTCGCTGCTTTCTTTGACTACTTCTTCCCTCAGCCAGTCGATTTGTCAGTTCATTTTGTTACGCTATTATTGTCGTGACAATTCACGACCTGACATCATTGCCGTTGCATTGGAAAATTATGCAAATATCCATGCTGCAGTACTCGTAAACGAAGGCTAAAAAAAGGTATAGCCGTTACTGTTTTGATTTAACCATAAGGTTAAGTATAAATGTTTGCATTGTTTGTTTTTTTGGCTGCAGGTACAAGAAAGTGTCCTTACCTTACAAACCAACAGTATCCGTTTAGAAAGTGAATTTAAAAATATTCCTTGAATACTTAACTACAACACACTGGCCACTTCTAGGCCACCAGTTGGCCAAACATGCAGGTACTTAGCTACATACGAAAATGTATTGTATTTGTGTATGTACTTAGCTGTGTTTAGTGAAGGCTTTTAAAGTTTGCCAATATATTTTAGCTCCCCCGTGAATTATTTGAGGTTACAAGTGGAACGTGGAACCGCCTTTAGAAACTTTGTCGTTCAAGTAGAAAGACTAGTCGGGTTGCTAGTACATACATATGTACATACTTTTTATACATATTTTCGGGTTTGTTTATGCATATACTCGTATGTACATATATGTATGTGCATACACATATGCATCTAAAAGTTGGTAGCACGTTATAAATCCTCTCTTGCAGCCAGAATGTGAATCAATAAAATAAAAGGACAAATTTAGCTGTGCTTTAAAAAGTGGCGCGATAATAAACTTGCCTATGTATGTATGTATGTATGTATGTACATACGTATTATACTCTTATTTTGACATGCAGTTCAAACTATTTGTAGGCAATTTTGCAAAAACATCTTTACCAAAGGTATTATTACATAATTGTCCTCGTCATTAACTTTGCATTCGTCATTGTCGACGGAATGTCCTGCGGTAATAAATACTGCACACAAACATACACTCAAATATTTGTACATACATATATTCATTTTTATTGTAAGTTAAAAATGTTTGTCGCTTACTTAAAACAAGGTAAATAATCACCTGGTCTATTTATTTCTTTAGTTTGGCGTATTAAAAATTGTACTTATACATATATGTGCATAGTACATTAGACTTTGGTAAATTAATGCTTGCCAAATATCATAAAAATTTTGCTAAGGAAACTCCAATAGAACTACATATTTAAAAAAATATATTTTCCAATGTTGGTGGCACCAAAAAAAAAAAATAAAAATTCTCGAAATTTTCTTCGCAAAAATACTTTAGAGTCAGGGATGAGTGGCAAAGCCCATTGCGCATAAAAATAAGAAATTCCCGAAGTTAAATTTCGTCGCATTTTGATATTTTTTTAATTCCTAAATTGGAGAAAAAACAATGTCAGCCCTTCATTATATATACACTTGTGATCAGCTGATTAAGTTAAGTGATATTTTGACAAGTTTTGGCGATTTTTTGTCAATCTTTATAATTTTTTTATAAAAGCATATAGCATATTACGTGACCAGCATCACATAAATTCAAATTTGAAAAAGATTTAAAATTCAACAACGTACAAAAATTATCAAAATTCAACAAACTTTAACAATTTCGTCCAAACATTTTTTTTTGTCCAGCATGAGGAGACTTTTTGACCGTTTCTCGTTCCATTTTGGGCCCATAAGTTTCGTATTGCTGTAAGTGTGCGATACAGCGACCGATGACAAAAGGTGTGATCGAAACTAAATGTGATTTTCGTAGTTTTGTTCTCAAAAACGCTTCAAAACCAAAATGACAAACAAACGTCGAGAACGTTTTCAATGGGAATTATATAAGAACAAAATAATTAATTTAAAAAAAGAACCCTGTGGAACGATTCGAAAGAGAACAAAATGCGAACAATACTTTCGGGGACATTTCTAAGAGACCGAAATGGGAACAAAAGTTACCGGTACATTTTGGAAAAGAAGTAAATGGGAAGTCTTTCGAAGAACAATTTGAAACTAAAGTCTCAGGAACTTTCTGACAGAGAACGAAACGGGAACAAATCTTCTCTGACCTATTCGCAAAGAATGGAAGCGAGAACAAAATTTGTCACATAGCGTACATTAGTTTGAAGTGTTTGAATATTAAAATTAATCAAAAAAGAACTGAAAGATAACTATGCAAATTAAGTCAACGAAGGACTTACGGCACGAACTTTTCTGGCACAGAAAACGAAACATTTTTCCGGCACAAAAAATTAAAAAAATTTCTATAAGTGGACAGTCTACCCTAATAATCTTTAAATAATGTTCCATTCGTGTACTCGCTTATACTAACATATACTAATCAGTTTTAGCTGTTAGTTGAGTTATAGCTTTTTAAAATCCTCAAAATCCTTGAAATTTATTTCCAACAAAAAACAAAGCGAATATGTGAAAGCAACACAAGTAACGCGTAAATGTGTATGTACTTGCAAACAACATCAATAATCACACAAAAAATGACAAAGTCATGTCACACTTGTCTTAAGGAGATATATCCATATTCATCTATTCGTCAGCTCATCAATTCATTGTCTGGCCGCTACCTCTACACGCCCACCATGCGCTACCAATTAACGCATTGCCTTTCTCTCCTCTTGTCGCAACGTTCTTGAGCGTGTGCAGAAAAATACGGCAAGGCCGTGTGCACTGTAAAACTGTCATTAGTGGCGAAATGTCGTACGTTTTGTATTGTTTTTCTCCTTATGGCTGCGAATTATACCGAGCATACAAATATAAATACTTATGTATGTAGATTAGGGTTGTCCAAAAAAATAAAGTCGAAATTTTAATGCTCTCCCCCTTTCGGATTGTTCTATGCCGAAAAGAAAAATTATACCCTTGTTTTTTTTTTTTTTTTTTGAAATCAAAACGTATTTAGTGGTCGCTCAAAACGCTCAAAGTTTTGCATGTATTTTATATCGAAAAACAAAACATTTTATTATTATTAACTATTATTAATAGTACCCTTAAAAACCTGAAATCGGTCCCCTCGTTACTTTTTTTTAAGTTTTTAGGGGTTCTATAAAAAATAGTTAATAGAAAATGGTTAAATAAACAACTGGATATTGTCACCTGTAGACAAACGAAGTTTTCCGATCAAAAAATATTGATTTTCAAGATTTCCATACCACTTCTGCGAAAACTTGTTTTTTTCATATTAAATATTTACATGGAAAACTTTGAGCGCTTTTAGCGACTCTAATTTTTTTTCAAAATAAAAAAACGGGTAAATCGTTTTCGATATAGAGCAATCCTGGGGGTGAGAATTCAAATTCCGACTTAACTTTTTCACATGCTTTTTGGACCACCCTAATGTAGGTATATACTCGTATGTTTACGTAATATTTGTTGGTATATTAACCCAAAATTGTCACTTCGTCGGTGATCGAGTCGGGTGATCTGACGAAAAATACCATCAGAAGCAGTGGTTGAACAATTTGCCCTGAACTGTTGGTAGTGGGCCGTGTGTTTGTTTTTTAAAGCAAAATGCCTTTGAACAATAATAACAAAGCAAAGTAATGAAATGAAAAATGGCAACAAAATTACTTTACAAATACTTAATCATTTCGCACAAGTTAATACAAGTACTTGTACGTACATACTTGCTCGTACATCTGATGGTGGAAGGTATGTGAATATATTCCAATTTTCCTTTTTCAATATGAGGAATTAAAAACTTATATGTGAACATTAAGATGCCTTATTTAAGAAAATGGATAAAAATAAAAAAATTAGAAAATTTTGGCTTAATTCTGGGTCATTCGCGAGCTGGATCACGGTTAAAATATGTAAAACCTGTCCTAACTGATTTTCGTGTTCTTGAAACCTTAAGAAAGATATGTATCTCCTTCCTCTCGCAATTTAGAGTGCTTTCAGAAAAAATTTGCTCAAATATATAATGCTTGTTCATGAGCTGAAAATATGTTAATACAAATTGTTCGATTCTCTAATTAAATCAAAGTGTTTGGCAACATAAAGGATGAAATTTCTGAACGTCAACACGGGTTCTTCCCGGGGACGAATCAATTAGTGAGTTAAGTTAAAAATCAGGAACAACTGGATGTAATTTACACAGCCACACTATACTTTTGCGGAAGTTGAGGAGTCATGGTGTTCATGGGAAACTTATTGATTTCTGTGCAAGTTTTCTATCTAATAGAAAACTATTTGTAAAATTAGGGAGCACTATTTACAACAAGAGTTTCTATTTTTTATAAACGATTTACCAAATTACTTTAAGTTTGCCAAGTACCTAATGTTTACGGATGACGTCAAACTTTGTTCCACTGTACGCGATATAAAAGATGGTAATAATCTGTAAGTTGATCTTACCTGATTCACTCAGTGAAATACATTTAACCATTTCAACCTCAATATAAACAAATGCTGTGTTGTCACCTTCTCTAGAAAGTCTAACAACGTCGTATGTAGTTATAGTATCGATAGTATAACTAGAAGCACGGAAATGAAAGATTTGGGAGTTATTTTCGACTCAAAGCTGACAATTGCTAAACATATAGACTTCACTGTATCAAATTTTTTTGCGATATTGGCTTCATTTCTGATGCTACACTACGAATTTCATAGATCCATATACATTGAAATCACTTTATATTTCCCTGGTGAGGAGCCGCCTTGAGTATTCCTCATTAATATGGAGTTCATACTATGAATTATGCTCAAATAAAATTGAAAGAGTTCAAACAATTTTTACAAAAATCGCCTTGCAGAAATTACCTTGGGAAAGTGTCCTTGCACGACAAACGATACTATTTCTCCATAATCTTTATTTATAATGTTGTAAATAGAAACATCAACTGTGAGGATTTATCCAATTCAGTCAATATATATAATACTCCGTGAAATCTAAGGAATAATCATATATTGATAGGCAGAGTGCATTCCACTAACGAACCGATTGATGGGTGCGTTAGACTGTGTATTGATATTAATCGTAGTTAAAGGATGTTCGAGCTGAATTTGTATAGTATTATGTAGTATGTAGTAGTATAGACTGAACTAATAAATAAATAAATAAAAGTACATTAGGGTGTCTCAGATTTTTTCTGCAAAACTCGACATGCATAACCTCTAAATTTCTTCCCTCTGGACCATAATAATGCTACAAGAGGAAAACTCCCAAGCAAGCAGCTGAGTACTTTTCGGTTATTTTATTGATCCCAGCCTTGTAGAGCCACAAGGCATTTCAATGCAAATCTACTTTGAAAGCAGAATCTTCCTGATCTGTGAATTGCAACAGTATTCTCTGCTGAAACCGATCGTTAAGCTAGCCCTACGTCCATCCGAAGCAAGCTCACCATATAATGCTCGCTGAGTGGTTCGGACCGCCGAACTTAAATTTATAGGTGTTTAAGTTGGAAGCTTTTCGTTTTCGATTTTTCGAGCTTTAGGAAGGACACCAGGCTCTTTAACAATTATTTTTTCCCCTTTATTTATTACTCCTTAAATAACATTTTTTTCTGATTTTTATTTTACAAATCCAAAATATCAGTTATTCTTATTCTTTAAATTATATATCTTAGATAAAAGTTATTGAAGACTTTTATTTATAAAAGTAGTCAATATAATCAGTCACTGCCTTTGGTTCTCCAACACATTCTTACGAAAAATTATAATGACTTTTATACTTAAAAATAAAAGTCCGTGATTGATTTTTATTTATGATTTTTATAAATAATAGTCTTCAATAACTATTATTTAAGATATATAAATCAAAGATATAAAAATCAAAAATAACAGATTATTTAGATGAATATCAAAAATAATTGTTATTTTGGATCGATCAAATAAAAATCAAAAATAATTGTTTTTTTTTTTAATGTTGCATAAAAATTACAAAAAAATTAGTTTGATTCTCGGTAAAAAAAAGAAATCGATTGGTATGTATCACTTGATTGTAGAACATTTCCTTCAAAGTGAATTTTTCAATGACAGTTTTCATTAATAGCTGTTATGTTCGGTCCCTGCTCATAACTAAGATGTTAAAGATTGATTATTTTCGAAAATATTTTAGGGGTATTCATATAAGCGCGTAAATGCCTCGTAACCACGTCCACCTCGTAAACTTACTTAATTTTGTATGGAAAACCGGTTTATTTACGAGGTTTACGCGTTTACGAGGCATTTAAGTGTTTAGATGAACACCTATTTTATAAATATATTTGGAAATTAATTGAACATAATTATTAAATACATAATATATTTTAAAAGTAAGATTTAAGGAAATAAATTAAATAAAAAATAAGCCATAGAGAAGGCTTTATTCATATAAAATATGCATATGTATTTGGTACGTTCTTTATGATGTATATTTTCAGTTTTGTATTTTTATCTTTTGTTTAGTTCGATTGTACTTATTTTAGTAGGCTTTTATATTTTGCAATACTGTTTTATTCCATTTTGTTTAATTTTTTCCTGTTTATTTTATTTTATTTTATTTTATTTTATTTTATTTTATTTTATTTTATTTTATTTTATTTTATTTCATTTCATTTCATTTCATTTCATTTCATTTTATTTTATTTTATTTTATTTTATTTTATTTTATTTCATTTCATTTTATTTTATTTCATTTCATTTTATTTTATTTTATTTTATTTTATTTTATTTTATTTATTTTATTTTATCTCATTTTTTATTAACCTACTTCCAAAAAAGGAGGAGGTTTTCAGTTCGTCGGAATACTTATTTTCTTTGATTTATGTTACCGCCTAACTTTGGACCACATCAACCGATTTCGATAATTCTTTTTGCATCCGAAAGGTAGTGTCCCATACTATTCTGGTTAAAATCGATCATTGGATCATTGCTGAGAATTACTTGTTATTGAATTTATTGCATTTTTATCCCCAATGAACATAGTATTTCAGTGATCAAATACTTCTCTTACAAAATTTTTCTTCACTTCCAGGTAGCGATAAAAATTATCGATAAGACATGCCTAAATCGGGAATACCTAACCAAAACATTCCGCGAGATTTCCATTTTGAAATCGCTGCGCCATGCGCATATCACTCGTCTCTATGAGGTGATGCAGTCAGAGACAATGATCTATCTTGTCACAGAGTATGCGTCCAACGGCGAGATATTCGATCATCTGGCAGAGAATGGACCTATGAAAGAGCAGGAAGCGGCGCGCGTTTTCACACAATTGGTCTCAGCCGTGCAGTATTGCCATTCGATGGGCGTGGTGCATCGTGATCTCAAAGCGGAAAATGTTTTGCTCGATAAGGATATGAATATCAAGGTAAGAGTGTCGAATACTTACCTGAATACTAACAACCGAAACATCAAATCATTTTCGTTGCACAGCTCGCTGACTTCGGCTTCAGTAATCGCTACGAAGAGGGCAATCCGTTGACAACGTGGTGCGGTTCGCCACCATACGCCGCACCTGAAGTATTTCAGGGTCTGGAATATGATGGACCCAAAGCAGACATCTGGAGCTTGGGCGTCGTGCTGTACGCGCTAGTGTGCGGTGCACTGCCTTTCAATGGTGATACGCTGCTGGAGTTGAAAGGACGCGTAGTTACTGGAAAATTTCGCATACCATACTTTATGTCACGAGGTAAGTTTAAATGGATTGATTGGAATGAATGTATGCACATATGTACATATGTAAATGTTTTCAAAAAATTTCACATTACTCTTTCTCTCCATTTTTGCCACTGTAACGTGGTTTAGACTGTGAGCACCTCTTACGTAATATGCTGGTCGTTGAGCCAGATCGACGTTATACATTAAAACAAATTATAAAACATCGCTGGCTAAGCGATTGGGCAGCGGAACTAGATGATTACGCACAACATTCCGACAGCAGTCCACTTGCGTGTAGCGACAGCAATAGCAGCTGCAATGCGCAAACGACAGCGACTGTTGCCAACCTAGATACGGAGATAATGAAGAATATGCTACAATTGCCTGGACTGACCGCCGATATGATTGCCGAGTCGGTGCATAATCATCGCTTCGATAATATATATGCCATTTATTATTTGCTTGCCGATAAGTTGCAGCAAAGGCGACGAGAACAACATAGAATGCAGCATCAAGCTGCCTATTCAAGGTACTGCATGCATAGTATTTAGAAACATTTTAAGGGCCGGTTGTTCAATGTCTGGTTATCATAACCACTACACTATCGACGATTTCGACATCATGCATGTAGCATGTGATCGATAAAGCAGTCGTTGTACTTAATCGGAGCTTCTACCTCCGATTTGTGCTAATCAGACATTGAACAACCGGCCCTTACTTATCAACAGATGTAATCATAAGTTTTTTTTTTTAATAACATACGTGCATATCTACTACAGTGCACGGTTAAATTCTGCTGTGGTTTAAACTTAGTTTAAATGCTCGGTTGCTGGTTTAAACTGAGATTAACCAATCAAATGTCCGCCGGCTCTTAAATATGAACGCAGTTTACGTGATATAAGTTTAAACTGGCCCTAAGTGAAAATATTCTGCCTTATCCTGAGCTTCGCCTGTAAAAAAATTCACTTATATAGCAATAATAATTGCATATTAAGCAAAATCAGTTCTATTCATGGCCGTATTTTTCATAATTTTACTACAGTATATTTTGCTTTGCTACCTCTATGCTTAAGTGCACATTTAAGATACCTACCCTAAAATGCGCATCAGAGGCATTATTTTTAACATTTATAAGGAAACTGCTCCGATAGATGCATTCAACATACCTGCACATTGGCGATACCTGCCTTAAAAATTGTGCGACTAGTATCAATTATCAAAGAAAGTATTACGTTTACCCGCACTGGCCCTACAATTACCTAATTTTACAACTTTATATTTATTTTGTTCATCTCGCAGAACAACGAAAATGGCTATAAATTTATGTAGTTATATAGATAATTAGATACTATTCGGTAAAAATTTCGCTTGCAGTAATTTCTACATGGTAAGTGCTTCTCCATTATTTGGTTTCATAGGGATTCGGATGCCTTTGTCATTGAAGTAGTAAAGAAAATTCGTTTAAGTGCCTTTTTCGGTTAAGTGCACAAGTTTTTCGTGCAAAGAAGGATGTGCAGCTAAGCAAAATATACTGTATTTGTATTCTTACTCGATGATATAACCTGACTTCGTAAACATAAAGTGGGTTGGTAATATTTACAAAGCGTTATGGCTTAGGTAAACAGAGAATAAACAAAAATTATCTCATGAAAATTTCCACTGAAAGGCTAGAACCCCATAAACCACGCTACTTGGTAATCAGCTGATTCCAATACAAAATTATTCTAGGACATTATGAATTGCTGTAATTTTTGTCGTGTTTTTCGTCACGACAATTTGAAGACATCGTACGTTTAGGACCCGGTCAAAGTTCATCATCAGTAGCGAAGCCACAACTGGTCGTATAGCTGCCTTAAGTTCTAACTGCCTAAAAGCTTCCCATACCACCTACAGGCAGCTCAGAAGCCATTGAAAGGGAAGTTGATTAATCTCGAATTTTTCACCATTTTAAAGCTGATCCCGAATCGAATTAAATAAAATGGCAGCTGCTCCCCTGAACTCTCTCTCTTAATTATGGCACGGAGCCACGTAATCTGTATACCCTACAAATTCACCTGACGCCGCCAACCTTAGGCTGGTTTCGCTTCAAAATTCTCTAATTGGAGGTCTATGGACGCCGTGGCAGTTGTCCTCAGCACCTCCGTTATAGGAGTACATACATATGTAAGGCAGCCGTACGTACAGCGCGTTTTCGTTATTTTTTTAACTCTGCTCTCCAAAGAAGTTTGCCAAGGTATTCCCTACATTTTAAAATTTTTATTACACTACAGCTGAATTTAAAAACTAACATTACCTATGTATTTTAGAAAACATTTCAGTGAACCTTTTTAAAAAATATTTAAATGTTTTATTTCAGACTACGCAAAACTAGTATCACCACTGGTGTAGTCGATCGCTCTGAGCCAATCAAACAGGAGTCGGTCGATCGCTTAAGTCCACTTACCAACACCAATGCACTACAAAGTGGATTAGGATTTCATTGGAGCGATGTTTCGGTGGATTTAGAGAAATTCGGCGATTTCGAATTAGAATGTCTGGCGCGACCGAATGAGGTCAGTTTAAAATTTCCACAATTACAAAAGAAAACTGTTTTATATACATATGTATTCAATTTCAATTCATAGCCACAAAACCAAAATCAAAATCACCTGTGTGCCAATGCCGGTGGAAACGGCACTAATACGCGGCGACATACTGTGGGTCCTGGCGATGTGGCACACGAACAGGCGCTTGCCAATCCAAATGTGCCGCCAATCAATTTCAAGTGCACACCAGAGAATAAAGACGAGACTGGTGCCTACTTGCCAATGAACCTGCCAATGTTACAAAATCAACCGCTACACAATTTAACCATAAAGGATCAGCATCTATTAAAGCCACCAGTGGTGATGGGTGCCAGTAGGTTTTAAAATAAATATTCATATTACATCCAATTAACCCCTCGTTTGTGTATATTTTCTTAGGTTCATTTGGACGTCGCGCTTCTGACGGTGGCGCCAATCTACACATCTACTATCCTTCTTCGGTAAATAATATGCAACAAGTTGCCGGTCAAGCGCAACAAATGGACGCGAATGCATATTATATCAGTCCGAATGTGGCAAATCCTGCAGGCCTAAGCGGCGCGCCAACAGATCGTATGCTGGGTCAAGGTGTGGGCGAACAAACACAACTGCAACAGTTGGGTGCCGGCGATTCTGTGAGCGAGGAGAACAACGAGGAGATACAAAAGTGAGTAAAGTGTGGGGAAGTTGGGGAAGCTATCAAGAACTGCATATGAACCTCAGAGAAGAATTTACTATCTACACTTATTGGACAGCGTCGAAGCTAAAGCTCCTGACCACCTTAATTAGATACATATTTTCGGCCTATAGAATTATTTAAATAAAAATGCACTTTAAGGTTAAGACTACAGTTAATACGATTATAGCCTTTAGACATTACCTTCTGTGCTTCTTATTGACAATCTTCTCCCGATAGACTGATGGGTAAAGAACTTAAAGCTAGATCACAAATATTTGAATCAAAATTAAACAAATAAATGTTTGAGTCTCGGAAACTCAGTGTTAGCTCGAGGACCAAAGATATCTCCTCTTATGTCTTCTGCAGTTTTCAAGCCGTCTGTTTACCTGTACAGCGTGTAAGCCGAGAAGTGTATCTCTATAAATTATCTCTACACGGCTACTGGACGTCGTGAAGCCAAATCCACATTTCCATTTGTTATAATTGGTTGTACGGTCATAGTTATCATCCATCTTGGAACCTGTTTATATCGTCCACCCATTTTTGCAATAAGTTTTCACTGGGTGTTCGTACATTGCCCCACTTTACAGGGGTAGTGAACCCACCTTCTTCCTTTCGTTTTTTTCTCCATGCAGAGACTTGGCGTTAGAGTTAAAAGTAGCAACTTCATCTACATGCTCCAGCATTAAAAATCGCCAGCATCAGAAATCGTCAACATCAGAGATCGTATTGAAATTCGTCGCCTTTTATTGAACCTCGTTTAGATTCGAAGGACTCGCAGAGTTCTTTCCCAACATGGACAGAGCAGAAGGTTATGCTCAAGGGCCTTCTATACAGCCATATGAGTTTTCAAGGGATCCCAAATTTAGTAGCTCTTCATTCAAAGTATAGTCCATGATATAAGATCCCAAGGATAAATGGCGCTGGAGCTGGATGGAATCTGGACGGTAAGTTCAGATGCCCTGCTGATTTTGGTGCAATGGCAACGGTGTTTCAATCGGAATTCTATGCAATACTGAAAGTGGCAGCCTGAATAATTGGCGAAAGGTGGCGCGGATATGAAATTTGGGTCTGCAGTGCCAGCTATAAAACATGGAAACCGCTCGCACCTCTTAAATAATATAGTCCAGGAATGTAAATAAGTTGAAGCTGAACTCCGTTATAAGATTGAATGAGCTTGATCTATGGTAATCGAGTCAACGAACTGGCTTATGAATTGGCGAACTGCAGCTCCCTGGACTGGAGAAAATTTTAAGGTCAAGCATAGCGGGAACTCTTGGGTACATCAAGGATTACATTAATAAAAACTCATGAAAGCCGGTAGTATTAGCGCCGCAAAACAACCTAGTGTTTCCTGAAAAGGTCTGACAGGATGGTAGCAAAGTTCTCAGTCACAAAAGAAGTGATCTACATCTGAAAGAAGTGATTATGAGAAACAATCCACGGGGACCCTATGCATCATCGACAATCCACTGTGAACCATCTTGTTTGGAAGATGAGGATAGTACTGAACATTTTCTCTGCCGCTGTCCGGTCTTCGCCAGACAAATTTAGATGGCACATTTTTTATCGGATCTTCTCTTCTCTTTCCCTCGACAAAGTGCTAAGATTCAAAAAGGAGTACCACCCATACATCCATATCCTCTAAATCCTCTCCCTAGGCCTTAAGTACAATGGGCAATAATGCCTAAGTGCTTGAAAAAATTGTTTTTGGTTTTTCCGGCCAAATAAATTTCCATTCTGCATACTTCTAAGATGGCTCGTGTCTTATTTCGCTACAGGGTGTTAGTCCTTTTAATTGCTATAAATAAAGATTTCTACGTTCATCTTTGTAAACTAATTTATTTCATTAACTTTCAGATACATTCAAATTCGTGGTAAACGACACACCGTCAGCTGTACGGAAGACCTGTCCATACAGCATCATTCCGGCGAGACTTGTCCCGTGTGTGGTGTTTATGAACCGCCTATAGTACCACAAATGCCTACCATTATGTCACAGCAGTCGACTGGCGCTGGAGCAACAGGTGGTGGTGGTGGTGGTGGTATTCGCACAAGACGTACCGGCCTGCTGACTGTAACAGAACGACCGCCAGGTTAGTGGGAAATTTATCGTGCTGGGATTTTGTAGCATAATATAATAGAATCAGCTTTTCTAACAACAAATAGACATATGTACATATACATGTGCTAATAAAAGTTAATTGAACGCTAGTCGTACATACTTAAATACATACATAGTATGTGTAAGGCATGACGCGCACGCGCAGGTTCGCTGCTTTACAATTATCAGCCATTTTCGCATTTAGTTTGTATTCGAATAAATATTTGTTTACTTTTAAATTATTTTACACACATATGGTCGCGGGAAAATAAATACGGACGCGATGTTTTAACAACTTTTAACTTTGTTTATTTAGTGCTGCTTTCTCAAGTAGCTTATAAAATTTATCTACCCTTCAAACACACGATAAATTTTTAAAGCTACTTGTGTAAACGGCTCTTAATATTTATTTATTCTTTTTAAAGTATATTATAGCTCACTATCTGACGCAAAACCATGTATCTCAACATTTTAAACTTTGTGCAAGATTTACAAAATTCGACGAATTTAAACCTGTGTTAATCAATATTTCAAACTAATTATGCAGAATTTAAATTTTTAGAAAAATGTTTGTATGCAGTTTTATAGCAGTAACTAGAACTTGCCGTTATTTTTTGCCCTTTTTTGCTGGCGGTGTTGTGCATTTTCCTCCAAACATATGTATAAAAAAATTTTCCAACATACTCGTACTCCGTATGGGGAAAAAATCGTGACACAGCACAAAAAAAAATAAAAAATTACTTGAAACTTGCACTTTATTCCACTGAAATTTTAAATTTTGGTGCAATTTTTTCGAATGTTTCCAATTTTTGTAGAAAAATTTAAATTCGGATTTACATGCTTTTTGTTAGGTAATGAGCTATACTTTCATCAAAAATAAAAAACATTAAATTAGCAAAATAAAAATAGCTAACAACTTGTTAAAATGTCGCGTCCCTATTTACTTTCCCATCTCTGTATAGTATAAGCACCATTTTTTAACATTCGATTTTGTTTACGTTAGATCTTTATTCACAGTTTGTATTTAATGTATATCGATTTATTATTTTTCGTTGTTTTGGTTTATTAATTACATATTTCTTTTTCGTTCTCTTTTCGTTTTATATACGTTTAAAAAAATATTTGGTTTCTGCTTGGCTGTAATGTAAATTGTGTAATAAACTAAAAACCAAACAAAACGATCCTATTTTTCCTAACCTCACCATTCCTTATATCCACTGCCTCCATCATTCCAACCCCATTCTACTTGCACTCATCCTACATCATGCACCATTTGCACACCTTTTTCCTACACCGACCTACCTGCTTATGCCCTGCGTATCACAGTGATAAGTCCTGAGCTTATACGCGAGGTGGAATCGCGCATGAATCGCAATTACTTGCCACCTGCTTTAAAAATGCAGCAACATCAATCGCATCCGCACCAGCATAGCGCAACGAATCCCACGCTCAGCCAATCCCCTCCCACTGGCGCCTTTGCGCCTTACCATTCGTCATCGAGCGCCAATATTTTGCCTACCCAGGCATTAGCAAATGCAGCCATGACGGCACAAGGTCCTCCTAACGCTTCTGGAAATAGTAGGCGTGTTCATTTCAAATCCACCAACAAGCTGCCAACCGTGCAAGAAGTTGGTAAGTTCTTTTTTTAAGTTATGTTATTTTCTTTACTTTTAACACTTTTATTTATTTGTTAAACATTTAACTTTATGTAAGTTGATTTTATATTCACATTAACTATTTTTGTTAATTTTTAATAATCATAGCCATTAATATTGTATTACTTTTACTTGCTAATGTCAAATTATGTTTTTTTTTTTTGTATTTCTTCTACCAGCATTAGCTTTGTTACATGTTTTAATTCGCGATTATATTTTTTTGAAACCTGCGCGCTTTTTACTCTCGACAATGTGCTACCCCCTTTAAATGCGTAATAATTAAGTTATTTTTAATATATCTTTGAAAAAACAAAAATCTGTATTTGACGTCTGCTGATTCGTAGTCGATTGAAAGTGAAATTTAAATCTTAATTTGAGTTTTATATTAGATAATAAGTTATTTCGAAACTGATAGTGTCGCCACATTCGAAATCGCAAAAAAGCTGCCAACTTTTATTTTTACGCGAAACAGCTATCTCGATCTATTTTTTTTTTTTTTGCAACTCGGAAGCCGTGTGGCTTATTGCAATTGACGTTGTCTAGCTTTAGCAGGAAGTAATAAGAATTTAAAATTAATTAACAGTATCAAATATAGAATCGTTCTGTCAATAGCGCCATCCAAGGTAACCTGATACCCGTGTATTAATGGGTTATCTTGACATTTATTCCGATGGCTACCTCTCATCCATGAGCGATGTAACAAACTCTGCGAAACTGTCTATCATTTCATATGTATGTACACAGCTTTCCACAGGCAAGTTTGCACCGACCCCTACTAGGTCATCGGGTAATCATTGGCCTTAAAAACGCTGCACTTGCTTTCAGATCCTTCAATTATCTGAAAGTTCGAAGCCAATCAGTGATCAGTAATTGAATTTTTTTTCAAAACTACCTTAACCCTAAGAAGGTGTTTCAGTGAAATCATGTGCTTTTTCTTAAAGCGTTATCTCCCCGATAAAACTATAACAGTCCACTTAGTACGAGTACGCGGCCGCAATAAAGAAGTCAAAGCTTTTGCCGATCATACGGGTACCGTACAAAAGAAAGCCGGAATAAATCTTGAAATACAGTTCGTAGATCACTCGCATATGAGAACCCCATGCGCCATCTATTAAAAAACTATATTATGGCATCTACGGACTGTACCTCTGAATATAGGACGATTACTATTTCCGAGGACCAATCTCTATTACACACGAAAAATTGGAATTGCTCTATGAAACCTACATTATATTTCCACAATTAAGCGATGTGTACGGTAGCAAAATTAAATTTCTTCTTGTACTATTTAAATAGACCTCATGGACGAGTTGTTGGTACTAAGTGCGTATTGACATGCTTTGTCATGATTGCGTATGTGGCATACTTTGTACAATTCAGCTTATCTATCAAAGCGAATCTATCACGCAAGCGAAGCAAGCGGTTTATCTGGTGAGCGTTTATCGTGAGCTAGTGCCAGAACTTGACACCTGTCAGTTTCTAAATCATTTAATTTTTAATAGAAGATACATTCATGCATTGTCCACTGTTGCCTTCTTTCAGTGAGCGTTTATCGTGAGCTAGTGCCAGAACTTGACACCTGTCAGTTTCTAAATCATTTAATTTTTAATAGAATATACATTCATGCATTGTCCACTGTTGCCTTCTTTCAGTGCTGTGGTATTCAAAAATTTGCATCAGTGTTGCCAGAGAAAAGTTTCGTTTGGAGCTAAAACGGTCGAAAAAAAGAGCTAAAAAGAGGTAAATAATACTAATAGTAGCTAAAATGAAGAGCTAGACCAAAGGTTGTTTTTACATTTACCGCAATTTTAATAAAAACAACGAATTTTATAAGTTTAAGTGCTGAAAAAATCTTTTACAACCAAAATAAGGAGCATATATTTCGAATTCGTTGCTATGGCACTCATAACAGTGAACAAAATTACTTTACAAACTGTTAAAGTCTGTAATTTCAAATATTTGAATTAAATAATTTTTTCGCTACATTTTTCTGGAGAGCTTTACTTCCAGCTCTCCTTAAAGGTAAAATTAGTAAGGTAAAACAAAATCCGCGCTATCAGGAAAAAAATTTTCTTCTAATTAATTTTTGAATTCTTTAGCCTAGATCCAAGAAATTTCGAAATTTTCCATTTTATCAACGCTTAAGTTTTGGCTTATATATACCAAATGCAACTAAAACTTTCTAAAGCTAAAAAAGTGCTAGAAAAATTTGAAAAGAACTAAAGAAAGAGCTAGCTAAAGTGCTAAATCTAGCTCCAAAAGAACCAAAATGGCAACGCTGATGTGCATATTTAAAGAAAGTACTCAGTACTCTCAAAAATACCCGATCCTTAAAAGTATCGATACCAAAGAACTCGATTCCCAACACTCATTTTAAAGATCATGCTTATTTTGCTTATTACAATGTATAAAGCTAAGTTCGGACCTTTTAAGTAAACGATCAAGAAATAAATTGCTATTGTTTCGTGTGTGTGAATAGTAGTGCACCGGACCAAAAGCACAATGGTTTTTTCAACCCAGTTAATGTGATTCAAATTGAACATTTGAGAACAAATTCGTATGTATAGCAGTGACTGAACGAGCAGAGGTGCTTGCTGTTATTTGTTGGCTTCCAGCAGTACGAATGCCCTCAGCGGCAACACATAATTTGTATTTTTATTTTTCTGTGTTTTGGTTTCTCTTTATTACGAAAAAGCCTCTGTGAAGTGCAGAACCAAATCAAACGACGAAGAAAATTGATTCAAGTAGAATAGTTGGAGACACATTTATAAAGCGGCTGTAGCTGAGTGTGTAGAGATGCTTGGAGTTATTTGCTAAGGCCGTCAGAGGCAACATGTTAAAATGATATTAAAAATTTTTGTTTTGTATCTCCGCATTATGAAAAAGCATCTGTGAAGTGCAGAACATAAACTTATTCAAACGAAAAATCGCCAACCAAAAGTTTGGTGAATGTAAACAAAATTGTGGTTAATATTACCAAATCATTGTTGAAAATATCAACCAAGGCATTGTTAATATTAACCAAAAATCACGTTGATTCCTTTTCAAGTTTGAATTTGGTAATATTAACCAAGGACAACAAGGAGTTTTGACATCTGATATTTTACAGCCTACTATCTCATTTTTTCCTTACGAAATAAGGGAACGGGCATATATTTCTGTTGAAAACTAGGGTGCCTTATAGTACTCTTCACAAACAAACTTTAGCAAACCATAGTAGAAAGCGTAACAAATTTCTTAAGAAGTGCTTTAGAAAATTTGGCCCAATAAATTTTTCTTGCCCCTTTATTGGTCTTTTTTTGCTCATCAAACTAAAGATATGTTTGCAAATAATAACATAAAAACAGATTTGGTATTTTTTAACACCCAAACTTCAATTGCATTGCTGCTTGGATACAAAAATTTAAAACCAATGGTTCGTCTCTACGGGAAGGCGTTGGTGCTGTTGAAGAGATTAAATATAATTTATTACAAATGGGGAATAACGAATATTACAAAAAAAATAAAACGACCAGCGTAGATCTCTATTTGAGAATATCAAGCAACACTTCTATGTCTATTGTAATTTTTCAATCCTTGAAATAAACTTAAATAAAAAAAAAAAACAGAACGTCAAACTGTACTTAATTTTTGTGGTTTTGCGAGCTTATTTACAAGTATATTTACCAATGTTTTAGTGCTTATCTAAGCGCTTAAAATGGATTTTTTCTTGCTTATTTTTTTCGGCCGTGTTTATCACTTACTGCGTATTTCCAAACAAAAACAGGTACCTAGCAAAAAACAAAGATAAAAAAATGTACACTGCTTCTGATATTTTATTGCTATTGGAGACCAAAAACACATACAGCCTAACAAAAAAGCAGTAAGAATAAAAACTTGATTATGACAACTTAACTTAACTTAACGTAGCTAAGAACTTAGAAAATCCAACTGAAACAGACGTCGACATGGCATTAAGTTGCGTTAAGTTTCGGCTGTCCAAATATAAGCAACATTCATTTCAGGGAATTTTTAAGTGACATCATCTAAGCTACGTTAAGTTGCCATAATCAGACCTTAAGAAAAGCATTACTTTCAGAAATGTACGAGACGTAACCTTACCTTTTTTGGCACATTGTTTTATCTTTAATAGATTTTAAAAGTAAAGAAAAACTTCAATTTTCACGGCTCAGCAAAAGTTTCGAAATTTTCAAGAGTTTTTTCAGTTTCAAGAAATAACTTTCGCAAAAATTTCGAGCTTTTTGATTAGGCTTCATAGAAAGATTTTGGGAATGTAGTTTTATAGCCCATTTAATTTAGTTAATACAGTGCAAGTAGCTAGTACTTATAGCCCAAACACAATGAAAACGACGAGCTACGGACCACGGCTGTCAAATTATTTTAACACGTACTCTTATGTAGATAATTATTTTGCCGACGACTGGGCTACGCGACGACTGTGGTTATGGCCAGATTATATCTATTTCTATTTTTCCAGCGACAGATAAGGTTCTTCCTCTTCTTTTGTCAAACCTATACAAATTCATGATGTCGCTGCCGCATTCAAAAAAATCATATCGTCATCGACAAAGCGTTTAGATAATGAAGGTAACAAATTGGAACCTGTGGCCCGTAGCTAGTCGTTTTCAATGTCTTCAGAACTTTACTGTTGGTTTTTGGCAACATTTTTTTTTTGCTGAAGGTGTTGTGCGTTTTCGTCCAAGCAAAGTAGTATGTACGACGGTTTTTTTGTTTACGGAGAAAAATTCGCAAAAATCAACTGAAAACTGCAAACATCCCTTAACTGCTTCAAACTTGCACTTCATTACACTAGAATTGAATGGGCAACAGAAATGCACACTAAGGGCTGGGTTCTCCAACTCAACTTAACTTAATTTAGCCAGTTTTTGGACTTAAGTCAAAAGTTAGCCTACTTTTTACGCAGCTTATTCTTGACTAAGTCTAAAAAATTGGCTAAACTAAGTTAAGTTGAGTCGTTCTTAGAAATCTAATTAAAAAGCACGAATGTTTGTTGAATTTGTTTTTTAATACTTCACAAGTTTGAAACCTGTGGTGGGTTTATAATTATTACACGAGGTATATAACATTACGAGGAAATGAAAATATTGCCGTTAAGTAGACATAAATTGAGCCACAGTAAATTTCTTTGAGTATAAAAAATTGTCATCAACATAAGCAAAACTTAATGATTGTAAAATGTTTCTTCTTAATACCTAACAGAAAACCATTTCAAGATTATCTAATGCAATATTTCTTTAACACTAATATTCATCACTATTTTCTTTTTTTTGTTCTTTTACCTCCGCTTAATAACATTTCAAAAACTATAGGACGCTACAGCCCCGTGAGGCGCGCATCCGAAGGATCGAAAGCACAATTCCAAGGACCATTACAAGAGTGTCAGTATCTGCAAAAAGTATCAGCACAACGTAATTTTTTGGTTGCACCAACACCGCCACTTTCAGATAATTCAATTAGTTTACCTGGTAAGCTTTACAAAAAAAATCAGAATAGCAATGTTTTAACTTGATTCAAACATACCTGATTCCTGTCGTAATCCTCAACTTATTTATAGATTTTTTATACCTTTCATGAGCATGAAATGGTATTATAACTTTGGTCCGATGTTTGTAAATACCAGAACAAAAAGAGATAGACCCATTAAAATGTATACTTATATGATCAGAACGTCGAGCTGAGTTGATTTAGCCATGTCCGTCTGTCCGCCTGTCCGTCTGTCCGTCTGTCTGTCTGTTTGTATACAATCTAGTCTCTCAGTTTTCGAGATATCCGGATCAAGTTTGGTAGGTGGGTGTATTTTTATAATGTATTAATCATTTGTCGGAACCGGAAGAATCGGACCACTATAACATATAGCTCCCATACAACTGATTGTTCAGATATGAGATTTTTCATTATAACTTCTCCATTTATGCAGCTACGAACATGAAATTTTGCAATACTTGCACCCATTATCAACAGAATACTTACAGTGAAAATTACAAAGATCGGGTCACTATAACCTATAGCTCCCAGCTTACTGATTGTTCAGATATAAAATTTTGCGTTATAACTCCTCCATTTATATAGCTAGGAACATGAAATTCCGCACTGTTTTCAATAATTATCAACAGAAAACTTACAGTGAAAATTAAAAAGATCGGGTAACTATAACCTATAGCTCCCATACAACTGATTGTTCAGATATGAGATTTTTCGTTATAATTCATCCATTTATGTAGCTAGGACCATGAAATTTCGCGCTGTTTTCACTCATTATCAACAGAAGACTTACAGCGAAAATAACAAAGATCGGGTCACTATAACCTGCAGCCCCCATACAACTGATTGTTCAGATATGAGGTCTTTTATCATAACTCCTCCATTTATGCAGCTAGGAACATGAAATTTCGCACCATTTTCACTCATTATTAACAGAATACTTACAGTGAAAATAACAAGGATCGGGTGACTACAACATATATCTTCCATACATCTGATTGTTCAGATATGGGATTTTACTGTAAAACTCCTTTATTTGAACAGCTAAAACCGATAAATTTCGTAAGATATTTTATAAATAATAATACAAAGTCTACTGAGAAAATCGTCAAAATCTATGCTGTATAAGCTTTATCTCCTATAGCACTGATTGTTCAGATACCAGTTTTTGCGATATATCTCCTTTATGTAGGAAACTAAACCCAATAAATTGTGTTACCGGTTTACATACCGATCACATAGCAGTGAAAATCACTTAGATTGGTGCCATATAAAGTATATCTTCCATACCTCTGATTGTTTAGATGCGATTTTTTATATAAGTATGTAACTCCTCTATCGATGTATGCAGATGTATTCAAAAGCAGTAATCTGTCAAAGTAAAATTTGCAGATGTTCATGAAAGGTATGAAGCCTTCGGCATAGCCGAAGACAGCGCTGCTCTTACTTGTTTTTTAATTATGCTAGGCATCTTAGATTGAAGGGAAATATTTGCAGTTGTCCAGCCATTACCTACTAATTATTTAATAGTTCTACAGGACTTGTGTTCAATGGAGAGCGTTCCGGAACGACGTACAAGCTGCAGTCTCCTTGAGATAAATCTTGAACCATATTTTCCTAAAACCTTCCTATATTTTTATTAGCGCTATAAGCGCTTAATTGCCGAACGTTTCTTCTTCTTGCTTACTTGCTCCTTCTTGCAGAGGATTCCTTTGCCATTCTTAGCCACAACCAGTGAATCCACTGTATTTTAAATCGTTGCACGACGTCTATGTTGTTCTAAAACTGATACGGCTCATTGTTCCATCGCCTGCTTTATTTGCCTTCTTTGACGAGTAAAGGTCCTTAAATCTTCCACAGAATCCTTCTATAGTAGCTTCATGAGCGGGACTTGTATACTCTTATAAAAAATTTTAATCAGAGATTTACCTCTACGGCTTTTAATATCTACCCCAGCATCAGCATTGATAAAAAGTAGAGCTATATGAGACCTTGCTAGGGATTAAACAACTCGGAGAGTTAGTTTCATAGGGATATATACTGCTAAAAGCGAATTTAAAAACGAGAAGGAGGAAATTTAAACTCTAATTGTCAGTTTGGGTCGAGACAAAAAACTATGCCAATTTCCTCTCTGCTTTGAAAAATTGAGTTAGTTGTCCATCTCGAGTGGTGATTGGTTATTTTGCGCTTAGTCCTTCTATTATATTTGTGGGCGTCCTTGCTTTCGTTGTCCGCCTATAGGTGCCGAGTAGAAGTACCTTTACAATGAATGGTGCCTCCTCTATACGCGAATAAACCTGAAAATTCATATATATGGGGTTTTAGACTCGCTGAACCCGAATCCGAGGTCCGTTAACCTTTGTTTATGTTGTCGCTAAATCCGAATATAGGGATCCCTTGGTTCTTCAAAGTCATCTAGATGTCATGCCAAGGTCAAATTCAGAAGAAGTGTATTGAATTTTCAGGTTTATTCAATGCATTTTTTGCCCTACTTTACCCTCAAATGACCTCGAACCTGACGTGATGGAGGCTAACAGACCTCGGATTTGCATTCATAACATAGGTTGGTTCAATATGGAGACTTTTTTTTGTAAACCTGTGTAATCTATGATATGAGCAACTAGTTTTGGATTTTGAAGGGCCAGAGAGGTAGTAACTCTTCTTTGGGTAGCTTGGAACTAGACGATTGGGTCCACAAAACCTTATACGAGTAATCAAAAAAACCAATGTTTGAATCAAGTTAATTTACACGAAAACAAACTCTGAAACAAATTAAAAATATGCTTAGCTTGTTTGCACACTCAACTTATCTCCGTATTTGTATATAATCATCTATAATTATGTATCTACATACTAAGCTATTACCGCTCCTTCAAAAACTTATTTTTGTTATAGGTTCCCCCATACATGGCAAGCCCGCTCCGCACATGATATTCCGTCGTGGTCAAGATATTGAGGTACCACCTGAAGCTGTACGAGCTCTGATGCCGCAGCTTGATCGCCTTGTCAGGGAGCATCGACTGAGCACGGATATAGCCAATAAAGTCATAGCTACTGGTATGGTGCCGCTTGACTTAGCGTCCCATTTGGGCTTGACAGCACATTCCGCAAGTGCTGCCGTAAGTGGTGGCCACCTAGAGATGGCGTCGTCTCCCATGCAACACCAAGCAATGTATAGTTTGAGTGTGTCGCCACTCTCCTTGCCAAATAGCGCTAGCGCCAGCGTTATGGGCGCCGTTAGTGGACCGTTAACGGCACCACCAACTGCATGTAGCCACAATATGGGTGCACACTCGAAACAGATGCTGGGTCAAGGTCCATACCAGCAACAGTATTTGGGTCTAATGCATCCGCAAATGCATTATCCCGGCAATGGACTGGTTGGTCAATTCAGTCACATAACACTTAGTGCGGGTGTGAGTACTTGCGCGAGTCCAGGTCAATTTAGTGGTTCAAATAGCAGTAGCGGTTGTCAGTCGCCCATTTATAGCAGTTTTAGCGGCTCATCTTCACCCAACCCCTATATGCCAGGCGCAGGGCCATTCAATCCCTGCAGTATTGTCGGCAGCGGTGGCGGCGGTGGTGGCTCATCACCACTGCATCAAATTACGAAAGGTATCTCGGTGCTTTCCACTGGCGGCGGTGGTTCGATTACACGCGGCACTTCAGCTGCCAGTGAAATAGCCTCCTCCGCAGCCGCCGCTGCTGCTGCAGCCAATCAGCCGCTAGATCTTTCCATGGATGTGTGTACTTCGGACAGCTCTGCTGCGGAAACGCCCACGAATGCATTTGCTCAACAACATGTCAACTGGATGTTGCCGCAAGTAACTTGCTTCGATCTCAAGCCGCTAAATTTGTCGCCAGCACAACCGGTGCGGGTTGTGCCCACGCCACCTGCCTCGCCCAATCTTTGTATCATACAGGAGGAGAATGCCAATGGACAAATGTATCATACCATCACAACGGGTACGCCACATGCAGGCTGCACCGGCGGGCTAATCAACGAGGATTGGGCATCGCCATGTCAACCGTCGCATCCGCAAATATGTCTGACAGATGTGCAGGGCAGCGAGATCACGTTGGTGGCGCTGAGTTCGGAAAATAGCCATGACAGTGACTGCGATTCGCTAGAGCCGCACACGTCTCTGATGTCATTACAGGTGAGTGGTAGCACCAAAGGGAGTATAGTACGAATATTTTGGTAAAATTGTGGATCGCGAAAATCGTGCAAAGTCAAACTTTTTTTGTAGAAAAAACACACATTTTCGATTACGTCCAAAATAATTACTCTATTTCTCCAACAGGGACTTATAATCACTGAACCTTCCAGCGATATGCCTTCGATTACACGTGGCATAGGACGCAAAACTAGTTTAGAATGCGCTAACGACAGCCACACGACGCGTCTAGAAAGCGATGCCAGCACGTCCAGTAATGCACAAAACGCCAGCGATTCACATCGACGCGGCAGTGATAAATCGCTTGGCTTCTCCGACGATTCACTAAGTAATGATTCAAACAATCTCTCACCCTGTCAAGAGCCTTCCGCTAGCTCCGGCTTCAAATCGGACTCACATTCCGAGATTGGCGATCATACCGAGGGACATTTATCACCCGATTCCATTTGCGATTCACGACGCATGTCAGAAGAGATGTGCTACGAAGTGCCGTTGCCGCATGAATGCTCCAACCTTGACCCGACACGCATACTGGAGTTGGTCAAACAAACCATTGATCAAACGATGCCACCAAAAGGTGCAGTCCTGCACAAAGGACTGCCGGAAGATTACGTTGGTAGCGCGAGCGTAGCTGGAGCAACTGGTGAGACGCGCATAAGTAACGCCAGCGAATCATCAGCGACATCGATGGACACAAGCAGTAGCACGTCAGGCTACTGTGGCGGCTTTGGCGGTACCGTTGGAGTTGGCGGAGGTGGCGGGAGCACAAGTACAAATCTTAGCTTGGAGTACTCGGGCGGCCTACAAATCGAGTTGCAAGTGTGTGAAGGCCGCAGCCGTGACAATCAAACGGCTGGCAAAGGTATCAAACTGCGACGCATCTCGGGCGATCAATTCGAATATGGCAAATTGTGTCAGCAGTTGATTAACAAGTTAACCATGCAGCAGGTAGCCGGTTAAGTACAAGTGCTAGTAAAAAGAATTGTAAGCGTGAGTAAACCGTGAGCACTTTGGATGTACATACCTACATATGTATGTAGTATGTGCATAGCATTTATGGTAGCACATGGCGTGGCGTATAAGTAAGGCGTGTAAATCAGGAGCGTGTAAAAGACATAAGTAGAAAATAGAGCCTACTGTTGAACGTTGAATAAACGTTAGTACAAAATCGCAATCGTACACACAAGTCAAAGCGTTGATATCCGTAGATTTCCAAAAATCCGTATGTACATATATAACTAAGTACGTGTGTATTAGATTAAAATTTTTAAATCTTTATTCCTCTAAATGTGCGTGCGTATGTATGTATTTTTTTGTTATTATATATTTAAGAATTACCGGAACTGAACAGATTTTTAATCGATCGATGTTAGTGTTTGTATGCAATTAGCGCGCTCTGCGAGATTTTAAAGCGAAAGGCAACCAGCGGTAGTTGCAATAACACATACCTAAATATGTATGTAACTGTAATTAGTATGCAATTTAGGGACGAATTAGCTTAACAGAAAACTAAAAACATGAAATGATATATGCATCCATTTACATTAGAGCGGGTCAATTTTTTTACTATGCGCGTATAGCCGTGTAATTCTAAGCAAATTTGCCGAAGAAGCCATGTGTCTAAAATCAATTTGGAGTTGGCCAAATTACAAAAATATAAAAAAAGGTTAGGTGCAGAAATCGATTCTCATACCAAAAACCCCCTATAGCAAGTTTGTGTACAAAATTTAAGCACTTTTTTACGAGTCTACAGCAAAATGCTAAGAAACCCATTTTCGCAATATGGCAAACTCCAAATGGATTTTAGACTAGACACATGGTTTCTTCGAAAAATTTGCTTAGAATTACACGTAGAATCTTTTTGGGCTATGCGCTTATAGCCGAAAAAATCTCCCTTACATATTGACCAGCCCTAATGTACATACATATGTACATAAGAATGCATAACTCTCTATATAAAAAAATCGGTGCTGTTTTTCTATCGGAAATATAAAAACTATTCTATTTTAAGTCTTCCGCTAAAATACTTTAAAAAATATTAAGATTTGCGTGAGCTGAACCTTTTTGAAAATTCCTCCAAAAATCTACTACTAATAATTATTTTTTTAATTTTTTTTAAATCACCTTACATGTTAAATCAGTTTGAGCTTAAAAGGTGTGAATGAAAATGTTTAAAAGATCCTATCAACGTAATGAAAATAAAGTAATTTTTGGGGTTTTTTAAAAACGGTCTAGCTCACACAAATCTTAATATGTTACCGAAATACTTTGGCGGAAGTCTTAGAATATAATAAATTTTATAATTCCTTTGGAAAACCCGCAACGTTTTTTGGTGATGCACCCTTATGTACATAGATATATTTATATTTAATTTCTTTTTTACAACAGCAAATCGCTTTTTTTGTAAATATAAATTCTAAATTGTAAATACGCGGTAATAACCCAAATCCATGTTTTTAAGTACATATACATATACTATATATGTATGTATTTATGTATAGAGTTCCAAAAGTACCCAGTCTGTAATTGCACAACACTTCTTTGTAAATATGTAAACGCTTCCAGGCAGTACTTACTTTTGGACGTACCGTTACAAGCTTTCCAGTATTTAGCGGTAGCCAAAGTGGCAGAGACAGGTCTTCATAGCGTGGTATCACAAATAGAAAGGATTTGCCCTAGGGGAAACTCTCTTTCTCTCTTTCAATTTTTTCTGAAAATAAATTTTGGTAAAAAGCTAAATAATTTGTTGAAATAAATAGCTGTTTTTGGTAATTAAGATAGTAGGTATTATGTACCAATAATACACGGGAAAATTAAGTCTTTGGAAATTTTCCGCTGTCATCATCCAGAATTATGGAAAATGAAAAAAATAGGAAACCCATATTTTTTTTTTTTTTTAATCGGTTAAAACTCTTTAATGATGCCACCAGGACTTTAAATTTTTCCATGTAAATATAATTTTTCGTGCAACTGTTATAACACCGTTAAAAATAAAATAAATATTTTTTTTCGAATAAAATAATTTCCCTTCAGAAATCTTCGAAAACAATTAGGATACATATTTTACTTAAAAATTTTACCAACTATTTTTACTCCAAAAATCGGGGGAACGAATCGAACCGAATCATTTTTTGGAGTGGTTTTTGGTTCGGTTTTGGGATTTTAAAAGAAAAACGGTTCGGTTCGGAGCCCGAAAAAAAGCGACGGTTCGGTTCAAAACCGGTTTGCAGCCCTGATTTTTACAGTTCGTGCGTGATTCGGTTACGAATACATAAATAAGAGATAAGACTATCGGCTATAAGTTCCGTCATTGCGAGAGTCGTTTTTCGAGAGTCAAATCGTATCGAAAATTTCATGTCATTGGCTAAAATTTCCACTCGACTAGTTTATTAAAACGGAAAAACTTGGCAGCACTGCATAGTTTTCGACGATTTTCGTCGTTTACTTATTTCAGCACGACAGTAGGCAATGCCAATGTTGTCAAGTCGTACAATTCAATTTGAAGATTTCTGAAGTGAAATATTCTTATTCTATCGAAAAATATTTAATTTTAACGATTGTATAGCAGTTCTATACAAAAAGAATTTTCTTGTAAAATACATGGGAAACTTCAAAGCTCTGGCAGCACCAATAAATCTTAACCAATTAAAAAAAAATACTGGTCTCCTTATTTTCAATATTCTTCTGTTCTGGCAGGTGGCTGGGAAAAAAGGGGACGACGAACTCGATTAACAACCATTCGCACTTTAGGAAAATTAATTTTTATTTCGAAAAGGAATGTTTAACGCCTATAACTACCATTAGTGCTCGTCTTCGTATGAACATTAGGGCGGGTAAATTTTTTTTCGACTACAGGCGTGTAGCATAGGAGGATTCTACGTGTAATTATAAGTAATATACAAACATATTAACATGCGTTTATATTCTCGTCGCGAAAAACTATTTTGCATAAATTGTGCCACTGGAGAAATGAGTGGGAATGTACATAAATATATACATACTTAAAAAACTGTTATTATTGTACAAAAATACAATTAAACTAGAAAATTTTAACTCCTCGAAACGTAATCGAAAAAGTATATTAATAAAATTTCCTCTAGAAAATACGCTAAATATTGTAAAATAGCAAAACAAATAAACATAAATGTGTTCTTCGCCTGAATTCAGCACCTCAAATGCAATTTGCACGCTATATATTCAAAAATTGTAACAAAAAATTTTAAATCTGTACTAAGTAAGAAATAGTAACAATCGATAAAGAAAGTAAAACTAGGGAGAATGCACAAAATCGTTTTAAGGTCGAATTATAAATGTTAAGTATGTATGTTTATTAGGCAGGTTAAAAAAAAAATTTACTATTTCTTTTTTTTTATTTCCGCCCGAAATATTTTCGGTGCAGTGAAAAAAGGCGCCTGCTAGAAGCGCAGCCCTTAATATTAAGAATTGATAGTCGCTCATCGCGAATTTCTACTTTCGGTATAAATAACACAGGAAAGACATTTTTTCAACATTAAAAATTTTATAACTCGTTTTTAGGTCAACGTATCGAAATGAGTGATATATGAACATATATTTTGACAATTGAAGGCTGTAAACAAGTCTCATATGATTTTAATTAAACGCAATCCTCGGTAAAATGTTAAAACTTATTTACTTACTTTTTTTTAATTTTATAATCTTTAATTTTGTTTTCTCCTTGGTTGTTTTATTTTAGAAAAGTTATCAAGTTTAACATTGTTTTTTTTTTTATCGTATGGAAGAAAATAACTGACATTGTCAAGAAAAAAATAGCCAATAAAACGGCAAGTCTTGGGTACTTCTAACTTGTATCTTGTTATACTAAAATTGAGTGCGCTACCAAACTCTACACTCAGAATCTAAGAAGTCGAAATTTTTACGAAAGTTTGGTTGTTTTTTTTAATGTGCACAAAATTTAATTTTTGGATTTATACGGTTTTTGTTAAAGGGTAGAGTATATTTTTATAAAAAAAAATATTTAAACGTAAAATTAAATAGTGTTTATTTGTATTTGGCAGTTAATTGAAAATTAAATTTAAAAAATAAAAGATTAATAGTCAAAACTTGTCAATCTGTGGGTGGTGTATAATTGTGATATACACTTTATTAAGCTTTACGCTTCAGAATTTGTTAAATAATGTTTTTTTTCATAGAAATTTAAAAAAATGTTATGACATTTAGTGTTTAGTTTTAATATTTTACCGAAAATTTAAATTTTGTGTATGTTTGGCTTAAGCGATGGATAACTTTTGTTAGAGTAAATTTATGGAAAACTCATAATGCTGAATACACACGAGGCAACAGTTGAAGCAACCTGTTTTTCCTCTTCAATACACACGAGGCAAACGTAGAGACCATCGTACAGTTCCATAAGTAAAGTAACTCTTCTTCTTACCGTTTTTTTCTCGCAGGCTGTAGGTGTGTGTTTGGCAGCCTATAGGTGGGTTTTTGGTTAGTGTATTGGTGTTTTTGGTTCGGTGTGTTAAATAGTGTATTTTGAATAAATTGTAATAGAAATAAAATAAATTGTGATAGAAAGGAAAGAAATTGTAAAAGATAAGAGCACATGCCAATAAATAGGTGATCTCAGCTATAAGCATTTTTTGACTATCAGCTGATAGTGTGTTTACTTATGAAACTGTACGATGGTAGAGACAACCAACTCAAAATTGCGGCAACATGAATTTCAATGAGCAACAATGCTACATAGGAGGCAACGATCGAAACCCTGATTGCTTCAACGGTTGTGTCGTGTGTACTCAGCATAAGATACTTTTTTTACGTTGACTTAAAAACGAGTTATAAAATTTACAAATTAAAAACAACATAATGGCTCTGTTATTTATGGAAAATAAACACTCGCGATCTCTAAATATTAAAATTAGATGCCGCGTTTTTGACAGGCGTATTTTTTCACTGTCCCGAAAATATTTCACAAGAGATTTTGCTAAAAATAGTCGATTTTTTTTAATCAGTCTAATTTATATATGTATGTATGTACACGCCTTGCCGAAAATCTGACTAGCCCAGAACTAGCATAGAACTAGACCTTTTGCCGACAGTACTAGTTCTAGCTCAATACCCAAGCAATACTTTCAACTGTCTAGTTTTACACGACGATGTCATTAGCGGTGGCAATTGTCGCCCAGTGCATTACTTTGGATATTTTTTTTTTAACTTTTTTTCTTTTCTTTTACAGATTCAATTTTTGTTACATATTTTATTTAAAAAAAAAATATGGTAAGCTGCACGCAACAATTTAAATTTATTAAATTTTAAAACTCACAACTTCCTCCGCCGCGATTTGAGCTCGTGACCAACGGTGCTTGAGACGGAGGTATTCTCGCTGAGCTACTTTCGTATTGTACGAGTAGTGAGCATTTGCTCATTTACACCGCATGTTTAAACTGTCCCGCTCTGCATCCGTTTTTCACTAGTTCAGAGGTAGTTCTCATATATGTAATTGTCAGACTGTCCTTAAATTTTACTGCAGGGTAAGTACATACATATGTATGTATGTATGAAGTAGGAGAGGTATAAGTACAGCTAGGATATTTTACTTATAAATTTCTCAAGCGGGATAATGAAAACTAGTTTTACATACATATGTACATACATACACATAGAGTAGTTGCTAAAATAAAAGAGACTTGTCATTAGGCAAAGTGGAAATAGAAAAAATTAGAGAGTTATGGCCATTTTATTTGAATATGTACAACAAACGATGGGTTATACACTGTTCCATTAAATTAAGTCAAATCTCATAAACAAAATTGAAAAACGTTAGAGTTATGAAAGAAAACTTAATGGTATCCAAATAAATTATATCATAAATTTATGTAAGTATATATACCTACGGTGACCATAAATATGGATTCAAAATGAAGGACAATTTTTCAAAAATATGCCTACATATATTTACGTAGTATAAAAATATCAAAAGAGTATTTATGATTCTAAATTCTTAATACATTTTAAACTTTAAAAATGAATCACGTTTTCTTCATTGATATTAATCTTTTTTTACATGAATATTTATAAAAGTATAGTAAAACATATTATAATTACAATAGCTTACACGAAAAGTGAAAATCTTTAAAAGATAATTTTATAGGCAAATTTTGAGTCGTTCAAAACGAAAACAATACCCTTCTTTTTTGGATTTTTGGTACTTTTCGCAGTTATTTTTCAAAAATCGACGTCATGAATCGACGTAAACGACGAGTTACAAAGTGCCCTTAACAAAGATATATAATTTGTGCAGAATGCGCTCCATAGCATCTACATTTCTAATCCGATTTTCATTACCTTTGGCTCAAAGTTTACTGTAATGATATATCTTCGTTATCGATTTTTTTAAATAATGAAAAAAAAATAATCAAATGAAACTGCGTATTTGATTGAAAATCTCACTTTTTTCGCCTGTAGCACTAAAAATTTTCATTGAAGTCGCCACAAGTTATATATTTTGGTAAGAGGCACATCAATACCCTTCGAGCTGTAAGTCGCTTACGTTAATTTGGAGATTTTTTCATGAGATATTGAAGAAAAGCCAAAAAAAAAGTACCAAAACACTTTTTGGAAAAAATCCATCCATTGTCCGATAATTTTAAAATAACGAATAAAATGCGGAACAAATGCAGGACACTTGGAAAAAATCAGTACATTTTCAGGCTTTTCAGGTTTGTAAAACTACGCAGGACCGACCTTTGAAAAACAGTACGGTCCTGCAAAAAACAGAACGGATGGTCACCGTATATATACCAGATATATATGCAATGCCGATAAATATTTTTCATACAATTTGGCCACCATCAAAGAACGCAATCTTTTCAATCTGTTACTTTCTATTAACACAGTCCAACAAATTTAAAATTTTTTACGCAGCAATACATTATTGAATGTGAATTTTATGCTAACCATTTTTCATTAAAGAAAGTCATATTCCAGCACATTCGAGTTTGGTTTAATTTGAGCATCGCAGATTCATGTGCCTTATGACCACCAAACAACTGTACGTTCGTCATTTACAAATAGCTCACGTTTTTAAATTTTTGCAAGTTAACGAGCCTGTTTATTAAATGCAATAATGCGCAACAATCCTGCTTGTAAACATTTTTTCCAGTACGAATTTGCAACTTCGCCTCCAAGAGAACTGTCACTTTGGGCTCTCACTGCACGAACGCGATTTGACAAAAGTCATGATAATTCGTACGAATTCGTAAAAATGTTTCGGTCCACGAATACATAGAACTTACATTACAAACATTTGTAAATCAAAATGACTAAAATTTAGAAAAAATTCATACTGCTTCGAGATATGTCGAAATAATGTGCACATTTAAAGCAGAGCGGTCACTCACTTATTTTTTTTATTTTCCACTCCTACTTTGACGCCTTCATTTGCCACTTACTGTATTTAATTTTTCGTTCAATTCTTTTAAGTCCTTTTTGCCTAAGTGAAATGAACTTTCAAACCGCAAGTGGTCGGTAATGTCAAGTACTCCCATATATACAAATTTTTCAAAATTGCAAACAGACTTTTGCAGTCGAAATAATAATGATTCAAGAGAATGAGAGAACTTAACATGAGAACTTAACAATTTTTGGAAAACCAAGGCGCCATGGACTTGAATGTGTTAAATGGAATAAGTAGGATAGAAAAAATTTAGTATACATATTCAATATTATTCACTTTCCGAAACATTTTCTTGTATGTATGTATGTATTGCAAATTTTTATTTTTTTTCCTTCTTTTTTATACGAAACGTTATTGCACATTTTTATTTTTTTTTTTTTAATCATTTAGTCATTTTAGGTCAAAAAGTACAGTTTTGTAGATTTATCAGTTTTTGAATGACTAGTTTTGATTCAATTTTAAACATCGAACATGTTGAGAGAAGAAGATTTATAGGCCTTTAAAATGATGTATAATAATCTATTGTCAAACTTGGATTGTCGGGATTTTTCATCGGGAAAATTTAAAAAAAAAAACGTTTTTTCTTAAGTTTTTATGTTTTGACCATCACTAATTTTCACAATTACAAAATATATATAAAAACTATCTAAAATTAAATCTATTTCAAAATAAACTGGCAGCTCATTTATTGCAATCGCATAAAAATTGTCATTGTAAATTTTGATAGTACGACATATTTGGAAATTGTGGAAATAAGTGATGGTCAAAACTTAAAAAAATAAGAGAAAATGTTTTTTTTTTTAATTTGCTTGATGAAATATCTCGACAATCCAGGACAACAGATTATTATACACCATTTTAAAGGCCTATAAATTCTCTTATCAAAACGTAATTGACCTTTAAAATTGAATGAAAACTAGTCAATCAAAAACTGATAAATCTACAAAACCATGCTTTCTGACCTAAAATGAAAGTCGCGACCTCTAAATGACTTTTAAGAAATCTATAAAAATAAGTAATAATATTTCTTATAAAAAGGAAGGGAATTAGGGGTTAGGGTCTTGAAATTTCAAAAAAATAAAAAATTCGATGGGCACCCTAATGTATATGTAACTAAGTTAATTCAATTACATAATTGCGATAAAAAATGCATATGATGGCGTAACATAAAGGCACTAGCATGGTTTAAGAAACTATTTAAGACAGTAGAAAATATACATACTTACGCATAAAATAAATAAACTCTTATAAAAATATCAAATGTACATACAAACATGCATATGTACATATGTATGTGCATGTGCAGATAGGTGTATGTCAATATATTAACAGCAGTAAGAATGAATATAGCATTCCAGCTTAGCGAAATATTTCACTAATGAAAATATAGTTGTGTTAATACTTTTTACTTATAGTATATGTAACATTGCCGTATTCATTGGCAAATATCTTATACTGTCTATTTAGTTGATATATAGTTTTATTTTTGTTGTTTATTAGCTATTTTACTTCTTTAGCCAGCCGAAGTCGTTTCGAGCACTTGAAAGACTCCCGCTCCAATAAAAAAAAAAACATGCAATGCAGGCAAGCAACCCTACAAGTGCATAAATAGGCACATACAAAAAATAACAGTTAAGCTTATTTTAATGCCTATGGTCAACCGCAGTATTCATAAGTTAAACAATTTACCAATTACATACATACATACATACGTAAATAGTGCCCATTTACAAGAGCTCCTTTTACATACATACATACTTATGGAAGTAAGAAATGTTTGTTTTAATATGGTTAGTTCGTTTTTATTTAAAACTTTTTTAAAATTAAATTTTTTTTATTTATTTAAGTTAATTTGTTTTTTCTATTTTCTATACAAAAAAATGTGCGCTAATAAAAACTGCTATGTATATCCATACATACTACATATTTAGTACATACTAGCTTATTTTAAAACAGACTTACATACACACATACATATGTATGAATGTACATGTGTACATTAGATTACAAAGAAAACTAAACACCATCATGTAACGATTGTGGAGTGAAAAATTAAGAGAAAACGCATACGTTGTTTAAATTATATACATATATTGACATACATACATATATGTACATATAATGTATGCATATGCATATATGAAGACTGCTGTGATTTAAATTATATTAATAGAAATCTTATTATGTATAATAACAATTACATATAAAATTATAAATCTCTAAATTTATGTCTTTAATAAATTACGAATTCTAAAATCTATATACATATGTGGTTTTCATAAATGGTATGCATCGGTGTAGCCAGAATGAAATTTAGGGGGGGGGGCGGCGGGAAGGCCCGACCCTATTAAGCTGGCATTTCAGGGTACTATTTTATATATATAAGGAAAATTTGAAAGTTAGGGGGGGTCTCGAGCACCCCTGCCCCTACCTGGCTGCGCCCATGATGGTATGTATTGAAGTCGAAACTTCTTACGTGAAAACAGGTTAAGATCTTTCGGTGGTAATTAGTATGTTCGATAACTCGATAGTTATTGATAACACGGCGTTGCACTGATCACGAACTTTTTAAGTGACGTAGTACAGGTCGGTCGTAGGGCCGGTCAAGCAATTCACGAAACTGCATTTAAAAGAAGAATATTTGTACATACTAAGTATTTAAAGAAATATGTCTTTGTAAATTATTTATTGCGAATTTTCTAATTGTTGGTAGTTTTTCATGAAAGAGAAAAAAAAACTTCTATGCTGCAGCACTTTTGTATTCGGATTGTGTTACGAATCATATAAATGGTATGCATCGCATTTTGGAACTTTCGAAAATCGTAGCAATGGCATGCCTAAAAACGAGCGAGTAGGAAACTGACAGCTTTTTTGCGTAGTTTTGTACGAAAACATATCTGTGTCGGAAGCGAGATAAAGTATTAATGGTGTTCTTTAAAAGTTATGGAACAAATATTGTTAACGAAGCGATATTCTGCCGAAATATGCAATAAAATCTGCGTTTTTTCAAACTTTAGTCCTACAATTTCCACGCCCACTTTTAGGGGTTTGTCGCCTAAAAAAAATCTTGCCGTACAAATATTATACCTGGAAAGGTATTCTGTCGGAATGCGCAATAAAATTTTACTTTTTGCAAAAACCCGATGTTTAACACCTTACCAAATACATACATATATCTTAACATAAGTTTTCGAAAAAAAACTACAAATAATTGTTGATTCACCATGTAAACCATTTCGTCGAAAAGAAAAATATTTTACAAATAGTTTTTGAAAACCCCCCATTTCTTTGAACCACGTTTTTATAGAGAATTAAACCAAGATTACGATGGTATAATTTTAAATCCCTAATTTACGGGTCTTCACTATGCAAATCAACTTCAAAAAGTTCAACTGTTAATAGCTAAGTTAGCTTTAGGATAATCTTGACCACCTTTAATATAGAAATGTTAATCCCGTTTCTTAGCTTTAAAATGACGTTAAGATGAAGTCTCTACGATCAGCAGAACCCGAGATATAACGTTTTGAAGAAGTACATGATTAGTCAGAATCACGAAAAAATGCAAACTTTGACAGATCATATCTCAGAAGAAAAAATACAGGAAAAAATTCCTCGATTCATGTATAGAACCCACAAAAAAGATTTTAAGCGAATCGGAGACATGACATAATTTATTTTTACGAAATCCATCCGACTTAAAAAAGAATGGCTCATATACCTACATATGTACATATTTATATTTTTATCCAATGCTTTATATGAAGGAACAAAAAAGAATGTTTGCTGCCCCTTATCGGGAAACTTGGGTACGGTTTAGTCAAAGGATTTTTTGTGAATTTTGATGTGGGTTTTGCGCAAAAATACTGTGCATGGCGTAGCCGGAGTTATGTACACCCTGCTTCTCTTGAATAGATACACATACAGATCTGAGATCATATCTGAACACCTCTATTAGTTTGCATTTTATTCCACGTTTCATCAAAGTACACGAAAATTATGCTTTTTATTTTGATTCACTTAAATAGACACGGTGGCCTTAACCCAAGGGAAGCACCAGATTGAGCCAACAAAAGTATACCATTCATTTTATTTCTACTATATAACACTTTTACTATTAGATACTACATCCTTAATTCCAATGTATAGAAAAAAACCCCTATCCGGAAGACATTTCTAGAGGCGCTTTGAAAAATTAAGGATATCTCGCTGCTTATCATATCAATCATATTGCCTGATAAAAGTGTCTCATGTAAACGCCGGGTTATTGATCTTGCATTACAGCCGATAACATCGGTAGTCTTAAAACGTCGATAGTCTTTTTGTAAAACACAAACCTCAGTATATCACACAAACCATCGATATATCGGTAGTATGGTCGATAATTTCCCACCTCTACAAAACGGCCATCGTAATAGTTTCGTTTTTAATAAAATGTTATGTCGGGTTTGCTTGGAGGAAGCGGAATGCTGTTTAGAAATATTTGATGTCAATGGAGAACGACTGGCGATTGCGGGCATACTAGAGCGGCATTTTTGGTTTTATGTACATAAATAATAACTTTCGGGCAAACAAATTATTCCTCCACTTACATAGATTTAATTATCATTTGCACTAGCTCCTTCCGACTGACACCATATCCACAGCGATATGTCGCTTATGTTGGCAGAAAGTAAGTGAATTCCATCAGTTCTATTTAGCAGTGGAAAAGGCACACTTCCTTTTGAACAGGACCGACGTGAAGCACGGAGCAGTTAGCCGAGTTGAGAATGAAGAGTTTGTCGAAAGTTCTTATCAAATAAAGGAAGAAGAGTATTTGGAACATCTACTTCAGACCGAGCAAGCTGAGGAAACACTTAATCCTTTGGCTGTACCGGAATGTGAGAATTGTGCGGCAGAAAGTAAGGTCAAGGAAGAGTTAAATGTTGAATTAAACTTGGCAGGTGAGTTTTTGAATAAGTTTTTGTATATTACGAACATTGTATCATTCTTCAGAAGAAATTACTCCATGTACTGACAAAGTCGGACAGAAACGAAAGAGTGTTCGCGGAAGGCCTCCAGGAGACAAAGAATTCAAAACTGCGGCAGAACACGATAACGGTGATAATGAATTTGAAAATGATGAACAGGCAAAACCAAAACAAAAGGTTATCAAATCAAATTCACAAGACGCCGCCATTGTGAAAAAACACATTGTCCTGGGTTGTGATCTATGTGCGTTTGTTGGTGAAGATTTCTTTGCAATAAGCAAACACTTTCGATTACAGCATCCTAACATTAAAGCGTACATACGTTGTTGTAATAAAAAGTTTACGCAACGTTGTAGAGTTGTGCAGCACGCGTATAAACACGAGGATCCACATTTTTTTAAGTATGACAACTGCTTTCAATTTTAAATATGCATACATGCGTAGTTTCGTCATTTTTGCAGCGTAAAAATTATTCCCACTTTTAGGTGTCAAGAATGTCAAAGAGTATTTTCCGATAGTACAACTTTAAGATCTCATATGATTAGCGCGCATGCACCTGAAGAAGAACTGAACTTTGCCTGCGACCAATGTCCAAAAAAGTTCTCGCGTAAATATTTGCTAGAATTGCATCGTCCTTCGCATGTGCCCAAGAGCGAGCACGCATTCGTTTGCGATCAATGTCCAAGTAGTCGTTTCGCTAGCAGCCGCTTGTTGAAAATTCACATTAGTATGCAGCATCGTCGGGCAAAGCGCGTTTGCCATGTATGTGCCAAAGAGATACGCAGCAAAGCCGCATTTGAAAAGCACCTACGCGTACATATCGGAGATAGTGAACCCCGAATAAAATGTCCAAGGCCAGATTGCGATCGCTGGCTTAAAGATGCAGAGAATTTACGGCATCATATGAAACGGCACAGTGTCGAAGGGCAGGTACTCACATGTAAGGAATGTGGGCGCACTTATAAGAACCGTCCAGCGCTTTATAGTCACATGTTCTATGTGCACCCCAAAGAAGTATTCGCATGCAAACAATGCAATAAAACATTTAAAAAGGCGATTTCATTGCGAGTAAGTGATTCTAATTATATATAAACACCCCTATTCTGGTTGTCGTAAGTCGTTCCCAGCGACAGTCGTTCGTTGAATTATGTCGTAAATGAAAACATGAAAGACAAATTTTAACACGTTTTCAATACTTCTTCATTTCGAAAGGATAAGGGGAATAAAAATTTGTAGTAGATTACGTCGTTGGTTGCCTCATAACGATAATGAAAATCGCAAATTTCGACGAATGACTGTCGTTCCGACAATCAGAATAGGAGGGAATATTTCGCGGTTAATTGGTTTCCCCGCATAATTGGTTAAAAATAAGTGCTATGTATCGGAAAAAGATATACCTTAAATTTTTCCCGCTTCATTTATTACCCGGTTAATTGAACCAAAAATTGTGCAATTAAGAGGGGAATACTGTATTTGTACGACAAATCGTCAGAGGTGTTAAAGAATGCAGTCACTTTTAACTAAATTATTCAGTTGATTGAAGTCCCAAGTGATTGCAATAATTTTTTGTTAGTCCTGACTAAGATTAAAAAAGAATTAGTCTTTATTCTTTTTGTTTTATTTGTGATTCATAAACCATTTTTTAGTAATTTTTTGATAGTCACTTGATTTTACCCATTGGATTGCATTATTTTAGTCAGTTTTTGTAAGTCATTTGATTGCAGCCATTGGAGTTCCTTCTTTTGCAGTAATTTTGTTTCGGGGATCGAGAACGCGTTCCGGTTTTGGTTTAGTTCTGCATGAGAACAAAAGGTAATGTCAAAACCTGTACAAAACTCTCGGGAACAATAGAAGGGTCCTTGATACATTTTGCGAAGAACAGATTTTACTTATAAAAATGTTCGGCGCCAGTCCATTGTATGTCTGTTTGAATACCCTCAATTTTAAAATTAATCGGTTAATTGAGAACGGGAATAAGAGCCAATTTACACGATGACTTCACCCTGGGTAGAATGTCAGGCGCGTCGAGCTTGATGGCAAGTTGTGTAGGGAAGTCAGCGGGGTTTGCATGCACAAATGGCTGACAATAACTTGGGTTAATTTTGGTTTTGTTTGTTTTCTTTGCTTTGTTTACTTCTCGTTCGTTTTCCAGTGAAACAAGATGTCGCAGAACCCGCTCAAAAAATCCACTTTTTCATCTTGTACTTGCATGATCTTGTGTCGTTCGTTCATGTTCTCCATCTATGAAAGGTGGAAGAATATAGACATGAAATTACACCAAACCAAACTAGTAAATTATTCATCATTCCCACGACAGCCGGTTCTATGTACCGGAATGACTCGGGGGGGTTTTAACCGACCAAGGGCTGTTGTTTCGGCGATCTAACCCCGTTTAGGTCTCTGATTAGAAAGGCTTGTGGGAAGTGGGAAGAACATCTGAAGACCTGTAACTTCACCTCTGGTGTGAGTAAGCTTTGGTCAACCGTGAGGTCACTGTCCAATACGACGAAGCACGACGACAGGGTCGACATTTCTTTCGGCGACCATGCCTCGTCGGACCCGGAGCGATGCGCGAGCTACTTTAGCCGGTAGTTCATACTGCAGCCTCCCGTGGACAAAACCATGCGTCGAGTGTGCAGAAGGCTGCACAAACTGCCAACAAATTGTGCCCCCCATTGCCCCCTTGCCTCCAAAGCCATGGGTACCGACGGAATATGCATGCTGATGCTGAAAAATTTGGGTCCTACGGGAGTAGCGTACCTAACGGAGGTCCTCAATTTGTCTATGGCCACTTTCATCATCCCAGACATCTGGAAGGTGGGGAGAGTGGTCCCACTGCTCAAACCGGGGAAACCTGCCAACAAAGGATATTCGTATCGACCGATAACACGGTAGCGAAGACACTTGAGGCCCTGCTGCTCCCGTATTTCGCGAACCACCTGACCCCAGCGAAGCATCAGCATGGCTTCCGTAAAGTGCACAGTACAACAACAGCACTTAACGCCATAAACACTCAGATAACTCGTGGCCTTAACCGTAACCATCCCTGTGAGAACGATTCTATCAGCATTGGACCTGTCAAAGGCTTTTGACACTGTCAGCCATTCCACGCTACTAGAAGATATAGAGGCTTCCTCTCTCCCACAGAGGCTCAAACTGTGGTCGGCAAATTATCTGAGTGGTCGACACTCGTCGGTAATGTTTAGAGAAAAATCGAGCAAACTTAGGAAAATAAAACAGGGGGTTCCACAAGGTGGTGTCCTTTCCCCGCTACTGTTCAACTTTTATATTTCAAAGCTACTCAACCCCCAGAGGGAGTCTCGATTGTCTCTTACGCCGACGATTGCTCGATCACGGCGACTGGGAATAGAATTGATGACCTGTGTTCGAAAGTAAACGGGTATCTCTCCGATCTTTCTCGTTTCTTTACTGCAAAGTGTCTACGAAATCCTCTGCGACCTTGTTCACCACCTGGACGAAGGAGGTCAGGCTACCGCTGGGAATTCACGTCGACGATACACCAATTCCGACGGTGAATAACCCCAAAATTCTCGGAGTAACATTCGACAGCCTGCTCTACTCTGCGCATACAACCGCTATTATCAACATAGTACAGAGCCGCAACAAGGTCCTCAACTCGCTAGCCGGCAGTAGTTGCGGCAAATACAAAGAAACGTTGCTGGCAACATACAAGGCAATAGGCCGGCAGCAGCACCTACGCAGCACCAGTGTGGTCGCCGGGGACTAGTAGGACGCAGTGGATGAAGCTACAGACAGCACAGAACACCGCACTCAGGACAGCGACCGGATGCCTCCTGATGTCGAAAATGCTCCCAATTAAGGAGCATAACATAATGCTCTGCAAGCAGTTTCTGGTTGGGAACCACAGATGTGGCCACCCAAACAGACAGCTGCTTGCAGAGGAGCCCTCGCCTAGGCACGTCAGGAGGCATATATTCGAACTGACGGTCGAAGTCCAGAGGTTCATTAAGCAGCCTCGGGACCCGTCAGCATACCGGCAGGCCCTGAACGGCATTCACACGGACTCAGTCTCGAGTTATGTAATCTCCAGACCTGTGAATGTTGTTCTAGGTACACAATCACCGGACATCGACGAGACGGAGCTTCATCTGCCTCGGGAGACTAGAACTACAATAGCCCAACTTCGCTCTGGCTACTGCAGCAGGTTAAACTCATACCTGAGCAGATTAGACGCAGATGTGCCAAATGAGTGTCCGGCATGCGGAGAGACACCCCACGACTCGAAACATCTCTTCGTATGCCCGGAAAACCCCACAACACCGCTACAACAACAACAACTGTTAAATTATTCATACATAATTAAAAAAATAATCCGCTGAGATCTTTTTGTTCTACTAAAGTCTCTGCACTTTAACATCGTTTACAAGATGAACTTGTGCCTATGAAAACTGTAATTGACAGGATTTCGTTCTTGCATTCCATGTTGTCTTCTTTTTGAAATATCTTTTTCTTTTTTTACTTTCCTTTTATTAGCTCGGGAGGTAACTATGTAATATTGATGCGCCTAAAAGATGCAGCGTTTTATATTCTGAAGTTACATACCTGATACAGTACGAATGGCAATTATAATAGGGAGGTTTTAGTTTTTTAAACTATAATTTTATTATTACTGTAATACTCATTTTCGTATTATACATTAAAAAAAAAGGTAATTCTCTAGGGTGGGGTAACAACCCCTAAAAAAGGTGCGGAAAAGTCGGGAGGGTTACCAAACGACGCGTTTCGGCCCCCCTAATAACAATCCGGAGGGGGGGGGGGGGAGANAAACTATGTGTTTCTTTAATAAATAAGTTAAATTATATATTTTAATAGTGTTTAAAAAGTGAGAACAGGTGATTTAGTGAATCTTTGTCGGTGTAATTGCCCATAGAAAACAACGAAATTTAACAAAAGTTTTTTGTTCATAACTTTTAAATGGTTAATAATATTATCTCCCCCCCCTCCGGATTGTTATTAGGGGGGACGAAACGCGTCGTTTGGTACCCTTCCCGACTTTTCCGCACCTTTTTTAGGGGTTGTTACCCCACCCTAGAGAATTACCAAAAAAACAAAGGTTAAATTAATGTTGTACTTTCAAAGCTTTTCTGAAATTAAAGGCGGATTTTACTTATAACTACTGTTACAAAGGAAGTATTTAATAAGACTTTTTATATAGTTGTCTTTGCAATTAATTTTTCGATTGACTACAATCTAGAGGACTCAAATTTTTAAAAATCTAATGCTGCGGCTCTTATTATATTTATGTATATTTTATATCATATAGAAAAAATGCTGACTTATTCCCTTTAGTAATTAACCGATTCACATAAGGGTCTCTTTACAGTACAAAAAAAAAAAAACTATCGCACGTTTAAGTAAAGAAAATGAAAAATTTCGGTTTTTTGGCGACTATATCATACAATTAATAAGCTTGGTAAGAATAGATAACGAAAATCCCTAAAATGCTGATGACTAGATTGCTTTTCGCACAAAATTACCATATTGAAACTTTGAATTCTCATAATTATTTCTCGTGTGATTTATAGTACATATGTATGTACATACATATCGTTACCAAAATGCAAAAAAACCCTAAGTATGTCTAAAGATTTTAAAATTGATTGATTGATTGAAGGAAGAGCCACATAAGAAGTGTGTGTTTTTTTTTAAGTTGCCAATAAATCTATTATTTTAAATTTTCAATGTCATTTGAATCTTGTATCCATGGTATAATAATTACAGGTATTGCCTTCCCAGAGAGCGCGTATTCCGATCTGCCTTATTTAAAAAATATCATTGTTGCCCACACTAAAACGTTTACTGCTAGGGAAAAGGGATATTTAAACAAACCTTCTTACAGAGAACTTATTTATTTACAAAAGCCGGAAAAAACACTTGCTTGCAAAATTTGTATGGCTCACTTCATTTCAAACGTTTTTTCTTTTGTTTTGAAAAATTATAAAAATTGAGCGAAAACAAAAAGCAAAGCCAAATACAAGTAAAAGAATCAACAATGAACTGCGCCAAAAAAAATAAAGGAGCACGAATTTCGATGTGAAGCAAAACTCTCTGGGAAGACAATACCTGTAATTATTGCACCATGTATTTCATCCATATAAGAAAAACTGCGGAATATGTGCAGTGAACCAAATATAAATTGGAACGTGGCATTTTAGCAAGTTTTGGCTATTTTACTTTAGTTTATTTTATGTTAAATATTTTTTTATGAAAGTATAGCTGATTACCTAACAAAATCCATTTAAATCCAAACTGCTGACTTTGTGCAAAATTTCAAACTTTTTAATCAGCATCTCCAGAAAAAATTTTGGTTTGCAGTTTTGTAGGCCATTAAATTTTAGGATAATAAAGAGCAAATTTAAAGTAGCTAGGACTTATCCTTATGTTTCGCTTTATTTTTTTTTTTTTTGTAGACGCCGTTACGGAATTTTTCCATACAAAGAACATATGTACAGATGCGTGCAACTAATTAGCAACGAGATTCAAAACGATATTGCTTGCAAATTATGTTTATTTATTTTTAATAATGTTCATTTAAAACACAATTCAATCTATATCAGAAACCACAATAACAAAAGTTGCAAAGCTTGCACAAATTGCAAAAAAATTAATCAAACTTCAAAAAATTGTCATCAAAATTTTTAATTAGAATATTTAGAAAATCTTCGGGTGTGCAGTTTTGTAGCCCATTCAATTTTAGTATAATAAAGTGCAAGTTTCAAGTCGCTAAAAATTACCGTTGATTTCTTAGAATTTTTTTTTGTCGAGGGTGTTGCGGATTTTTTTCCATGTAAAAAAATATTTTGATCATGTGTTATATGGAAGAAAATGCGCAACACCCTCCACAAAAAAAATTCTAAAAAATCAACGGTAATTTTTAGCGACTTGAAACTTGCACTTCATTATACTAAAATTGAATTGGCTACAAAACTGCATACCCGAAAATTTTCTAAATATTCGAATTAAAAATTTTGAAATTTTGATGACAATTTTTTGAAGTTTGATTAATTTTTTTGCAATTTGTGCAAGCTTTGCAACTTTTGTTATTGTGGTTTCTGAAATAGATTGAAATATATTTTAAATGAAAATTATTAAAAATAAATAAATAAACATAATTTGCAAGCAATATCGTTTTGAATTTCGTTGCTAATTAGTTGCACGCATCTGTATGTATGTATGTTCGACAATTTTTTATATGGAAAAAAATGCAGAACACCGTCGACAAAAAAAAATTGCAAAAAATTAACCATAAGTCCTATCTACTTCAAATTTGCACTTTATTATGCTAAAATTTAAGGGCCTACAAAATGCATACCAAAATTTTTATTTTTATGGTACGAGGCAAGTAATCAGCTATACTTTTATAAAAAATAGTAAACATACTTTACATACTTACTATAAGTATGTAAAAAAAAAAAATATTTCATATAGGGGTTTTTTAATTGATGGTGACGATATTAGTTTTAGTATGCTCTTAAATACAATATACTTTTCCTTAGGAACATATGGCGCAGCACACTGGTGAAACCCTATACAAGTGTCCGTTCTGTACTCGTACTTTTAATTCAAATGCGAATATGCACTCGCATAAGAAGAAAATGCATCCCATCGAATGGAATACGTCCCGTAAGGAGAAGCTAGAAGGCACACAATCAAAAAGCAAGCCTCAAAGCGATATATAAATAACAGAAGGTACTTCAACATTTGCGTTCATGCCGTAATTAGGTTCTGGAATTATGTACATACATTGTATTATAAAAATATGTTTAGGGGATGCACAAGCTGTCGTAATAGTCGTATTGTCATAATCACTTTATTTTATAACGGTAACAAATAATTTGTGGTGTTTATGAATCAATTAAAGATGTATCACATTATGACGATACGACGTGTTATGTCACCTGGCGATTCCTTTAATTACATTGCATAAAAAAAGTATAAGAAAAAATTACATCGGTGGAAACTAGAACGGTTGGAGAGAATTTTATTACCGGATTCGAAGTCAGTTTATTTTAACTAAAATCTAATGTCATTAACTAAAACTTTGTTTCAAGGTCGGAGTATTTAATATAATTTATAATTGTACGACAAACGAATCGAATCAGTTGCACAGAACTTGGATGGATGAGAGAAGCAAACAGCAAATGGAAACTCATACAGTGAAAACTTGATGTAACGAACATTTAATGTGTCGATTTGATTACACTTTGGATGTTGTATGGTATACCAAAACTCAGATTTTCCAATGGCAATTGCATGAACGTAAAGTTAAGTCTCATAAAAAACTTTAAAACTTGATTTCCCCAACATTCTCATTTATACTTATTCATGTTTCTGACATAAGGGGACGATTTAACGAAGTTTGTGGCATGAAAACCTTCGGAATATATTGACGTTTGAAGTTCCGTTAGTAAAACGGAATGTCAACTCAAAACCTTTACATAACGAATTCTTAATATGTAGACGGTTAGAGTCCCGCTGTAAAAAAAAAAAACGAAATATGCTGAATTCTGTTTCTGTTCTTTGCGACGGCCGGCGTTAACTGAACTAGGGATGCAGAAGACATTTTTTCAAACATTGATAATTTCAGTATGAAATTCGATGCTTAAAATTTTCAGAAATCGTAAAATTGACGATGCTTCGATGTCAGTTTAAACGACGTTTTAAACATCGATTAACGTTTCATGACCAATTTTTTATTATTTTTTCATGAGCTTTCCTTCCTTTGTCTGAAATACGATTATCTCTGTTTTGTTTTTTCACGTGATCAACGTCTAGAGGTTGGCGAAAATTAGGATGAAATATTTCATTGCATAAATACTTACGTACATGCTAATTAGCTTAAGTGCGTGAAAAAAAATATTCGTTGCAAGGCATATTGGGCCTTGATTTCTTGTTTTCCTCCTAAATTGTTGAATTTTAAAATCAATTTTCAACAGATTATTAACATAAATACATATTTACATACATATATTTTTATGTATAGTAAAACTAAATACATACATTTTAATAAGAAATTACACTCCCATACAATTTACTACAGGCCGTTCCACAATCCAATCAATTAAAAGTGCTCTGTTGTTGGCTTATCAATTTTTGTGAGCTTCCCTGTTTCGTTTTACGCCAAACATCCCATTCGACGGGATGCATTTTCTTCTTATGCGAGTGCATGTTTGCATTTGAATTGAATGTTCGTGTGCAGAATGGGCATTTGTAGAGACTTTCCCCTGTATGCTGCGCCATGTGCTCCTGTGTAGAAACACATTTTTGTATGTTACATACATACATATATTACATTGATATTATAAAACTCAACCCACGAAACGCATTACTTACCCGTAAAGTTATAGCTTTTTTGAATGTTTTATTGCATTCTTCACATTTAAATCCTTCATTAGAATGTACGTAAAGTTGATGGCTACGAAGTGCTCGCCGATTTTTACAATTACGTCCACATTGGTCACATGTAAATACCAGTCCTTCGTCATTGTGACGACGCAGATGCTGTCGCAGATTCTCCTCATCTTTAAGCCAACTATCACAACCTGGACGTGGACACTTAACTCGAGGCCCGCTGGCTTCAAAATGTAAACGTACATGCTTTTCGAATGATTGCTTATCTCGTATTTCTTTAGCACAGACATGACAAACATTGACCGCACGCCTATGTCGCATGCTAATGTGAATTTTCAGTAAGTGATTACTTCCGAATCGACTATTTGGACATTGATCACATATGAAAGTACGCTCGCTCATAGGAACATGTGATGCAAGGTGTAAATCTAGCAACTTCTGCCGCGAATACTTTTTGGGACATTGGTCGCAGGCAAATGTGAGTTCTTCTTCCGGGGCATGTGTAGTAATCATATGAGATTTTAAAGTGTATCGATCCGAAAATATCTTAAGGCATTCTTGACACCTAGATAAAATGTGGATTTAATAAATATGTACATATATATTTCCAATGTCAAAGGTATTATCGGAATGTTGGAATATTTATATTTTTCTTTATATTATACGTACTTAAAAAATTCCGGGTTTTCGTGTTTATATGCGTGCTGCACAACTTTAAATCTTTTGTTTAGCTTCTTTTCACAACAACGAACGTATGGCTTAATATTTGGATGCTGCAATCGAAAGTGCTTACACATTGATGCGAAATCTTCGCCCACATATGTACATAGATCACAACCCATGCCAATGTGCTTTTTTATCATCGCTTCATCTTGTTTGGTTGATTTAATAACTTTTACACGTTTTGGTTTTTCCTGCTCATCATCTTCGTCTCCATTTTCAAACTCACTATCTTCGTCGTCTTCTTCCACCACTTGTTTCGCAGGCAGTGTCCTACGGGCACATTTTCGTTTACGTACAGCTTTTTTGGTGCTTGGTGTCGCTTCTTTTAAATAAAGTAATGGTTGTTGGTAAAATATAAAATCGTTTTAAAAGCCTCACCAGGCAATTTCGTTGCACCATTTGACACCTCCTTGGTTATCTCTGGTTCCACTCCATTTTCCTCAGACTCTTCCCTTTCAGTATTTTCAAGTCCTGCTTCATCCAATGGATTGATGGCCTCTTCAACTTGGTCTATTTGACATGAATTTTCTACGAATTCTTCTTCTTTAATTTGTACACAATTTTCGAAGAAATCTTGCTCTCCAACGAGGCTAAAAGCTTCATGCTTCACATCGGTCCTACCGAAAATTTTATGCGCCTTTTCCACCATTAAATAGAATTGGTGGAAATCGCTTACTTTCAGCCAACATATGCGGCATATTGCTGTCGAAATGGAGTCAGTAGGAAGTGGCTAATTCAAAAGCAATTGGTAATTAAAATTGAATGCAAAGCCAGATTGCAAATATGAACCTGAAACCAGAAGTGCATTTTTAGTATTTCTGCAATCCCCAATTGCTCTCCATTGACATCGAATATTTCTAAACAGCATTCGGAATCCTTTAAGCACAGTCGACATAACATTTTTTACAAAAGGTTGTTAATTGATCTATTGAATTTAATATAAAAAAGGGCAATCTTATGATGAACTTGTAAAATAACTAATGTTATTAGAAATGGAAAAATACGATGCAAGAGAAACGTCGTTTGTTATTCGATAGATCGAATAAAATCGAAGTATATCGGTAATGGCGCCGTCAGAAGGGGTAAGCTCAAGGCGAATTAATATAAGGTTCGTTCGCGTAGCTGTTAATTGTTCATGTTTAACCAAAACTTACAAGTTTTTGCGTTCGCGTACGCAAAAAACTTGCAAAGTAGGGGAAATTGAGAGAGCAAAGTGACATTTCATTTTGAGGGGAAGCTGCTGGTTTCTGTTGGAAAAATTTTTGCCAACAGCAATTTGCCAACAGGAAAACAGCTGATCAAAAACAGCTGGTTGGCATTTACGCAAATCACAAAATTGAATTTGATGGTTTGGAAGTTAAAAATTACAAAATGCGAACTTTGCGATGACTTTTCGTACGTTTTAAATTTTACACTTTTGAATGTAAACAAAAATTATATCAGCTGTTTGTCTAACTTGCAAGTTTCTGCAAATTTTCTGTTCGCGTACTATTTTGGATATTTCTCTCTTGTGAGCGAACAGATGACATTTCGCCGGAATTTGGCAGTTGGTTGGTTTCTGTTGGAGATTTTAAACGAACGCACCTATTAGGTGATAGCAGGAGTACAAAAACAAAAATTTATATGTATTTTGTTTTTGCTTTGGCGGCATAAACTGTCAAAATCTGTAAGAGTATGTGTAGAAATTCAAACAAAATTTTTCAATTTGATATCTGAAGCCGTGCGGCGAAACACATACACAAAATCAGCTGAGCTAGTAACACCACCTTATATAAATTCGCCTTGGGTAAGCTGATGCCACATAAAACTTTTGCTTCGCTTTACATGACAGATTCGCTTTGACAGATAAGATGAATTGTATGAAAACGAACAAAGCATGCCACAGATCGTTGAAGCTGCAGCGTTAAGCAAGAAGATCGCCAACTCCCATCTGACCGGTTGACAAGCAGACATTTTCAATAGCATCTCCGTTTAAACATCATTATCGACGTCGATAACGATTTTTTACAGGAAATTAGTGTTAACCAGACATTGAGTAACCGGCCCTAAGGGCCGGTTGTTCAATGTCTGGTTATCAAAAACTCGTTTTCAAAGTGTTTTCGTTGTCGGTCAGAACATAGTATTAAATAGTGATGTGCTGAATTGTCGGTACCCAATACTTGAAGAAAATTTCGGTACCCAATACTTTCTTTTCGGTACCCGATACCGATTCGATACATTAAACCTTCATGAACCAACTAACAAGATCACCCAGCACGGCAACCGTGTATTTGTAATTTCATTTGAGAAAAAAAATAATGGTTGATGACGTCATTTTTTAATCGATTCTTTCATTCACACACAGGTTTCATTCCGTTTTATTCACATGGCGGCGAAAAAATGACGTCACTGCAAAAAATTAACTTTTTTCTCGCACGCCGTGCTGGGTGATCTTTATTCGTTCGTTCATGTTAAACCTTCGTCATGATATATACACTTGTGGTTAGCTGATTAATTTTAGTGACATTTGGATTAGTTTTTACTATTTTTTCTTTTGTTTATTTTGTGTTTATAATTTTTTTATAAAAGTCTAGCACATTATATAATAATAATAGATTGGCCCGTACACATATGTTAGTGTTTGGCCGAGCCTCTCCTCCGACTTGTGGCGTGCGCCTTGATGTTGTCACACAAATTAGAGGGACCTACAGTTTTACGCCGACTCCGAACGGCGATTGTATTTTTATGAGAAGCTGTTTTTCATGGCAGAAAAACACTCGAAGGTTTGCCATTGCCTGCCGAGGGACGACCGCTGTTAAGAAAAAAACCTTTTTTCTAAATTTTTTGCGATGTTGCTTTGACCAGGGCTTGAACCCAGGTGTTGATGAGTGAAAGCGCGCACTGCTTATCACTACACCACAGCGGCCGACGTATACATATATGAATATTTATTAAATGTAATATGAAAATTTATTAAAGAAACATACTTGGGCATGATTCCACTAAAGTACTTATTAATCGCTACTAAATGTTGGCACAAAATTTTAATGCGCGCACAAAATGAAATCGTGAAAAATTAGTCAACAAACATCTTCGATGTTTTTTAAAACACCCATGTTTTGATTTAACATCGCATTCGTAAAAACATCGATGAACATCGGATGTTTGAAGCCACGACCATCGATTTTGCTCGATATATTGATGTTTTTTTACATTCCTAGCTCTAGGTAGAGTAACATAAAACCCCAGAAAAAAAGTAAATTTACTGTATTTTACATTGCAAAATAGATATTCTTTGATATGTTATGCAGACTTTGTATAAAACACTCCGATTCTTTCTTATATATATTCGATAAGAATGGATTGCAACTAGAAATTGCTGATATACTCGGACGCCACTTTTGGTTTATGGTATGCTTCGTAGAAATGTCCTTGGTATTTTGAAATTGAGATTTTTTTTGTAGCCCGATCCAGATGACATTTCATTGGTTATTTGTTCCGCTTGCTGGATGAAAGTTAATGACTTCCATGAATTTTATGTAACAGTAGAGAAAAGACATGCTACACTCACCAGTTATGACTTCAAGAAGGAAACTTTCAATGAAATGGACAACGAATTTATTGACCCCATCCTGACTATTAAAGAAGAGCTTTCCAAAACTCCTTTGTTGGGTAATGAAGGTAGCAAAAGGCTGACTGACGAGCTGAACCCCTTGTGCGAAGTAGAATCTGATGAAGTGACGAACAGAACTCGTTTAGAAAAAAACGATGTTTCTATGTATACAAGTGCAGAAACTATTGGGAATACCGGAGGTAACAAAACTTATAAAAAAAGTTATAATCCACACTTTTGTTTCCTGTAGGTAGTACGTCTTCAGCCAACTTTACTTTAGAAAATGTAAGAAACGATGTAATTGAAAAAATATCAACTAAAAAATTGCAAATGCTAAAAGAAGAGAATTTGCAGCACGAACATAAAGGGAAGAAAACATTTAGCGTAAAGACATCAAGAGAAGACGATGATATGGTAAAAAAATACATCCAAATGACTTGTGAGTTGTGTGCTTATATCAGTGGTGATTATATTTCAATGAGGAAGCATTTTCGAATACAGCACCCAAAGATAAAAGCCTTCGTACGTTGTTGCAATAAGAAACTGTTCGACCGGCTTGAAATCGTACGGCACGCTTATAAACATCATGATCCCGAATTCTTCAAGTATGTTTATCCACATTATAATTGGTGTTGAACATTTTCCAGACTTTGTATAACGCTTATAAATGTAAATTTGTCATAGGTGCAAGGAATGTGAAAAGGTTTATTCCGATCAGTATACTCTAAAATTTCATCTGATGCACGCACATGAGTCGGAAGGACTCAATTTTGCATGCGATCAATGTCCCAAGAAATTTGCACGGCAAAATTTGCTGGAGTTACATCGTGGCTCGCATGTCCCTATAAGCGAGCGTACTTTCGTATGTGAACAATGTCCAAAGAGTCGATTCGCTAGCAATAATCTATTGAAAATTCACATTAGCATGCGACATCGACGTGCAGTCAACGTTTGTCATGTCTGTGCTAAAGAAATACGAGATAAGCAATCATTCGAAAAGCATGTGCGTTTACATTTTGAAGCCACTGGCCCTCGAGTTAAATGCCCACGGCCAGGTTGTGACAGTTGGCTGAAAGATGAGGAAATACTGCGACAGCATCTGGGTCGTCACAATGACGAAGGACTAATATTTACATGTGACCAATGTGGACGTAATTGTAAGAATCGGCGAGCACTTCGCAGCCACATTCTATGCGTGCATTCTAAAGAAGTATTCACTTGTGGAGCATGCAACAAAACATTTAAGAAAGCTGTATCATTACGGGTAAGCACAGATTATTATTGAATTAAGGGCAATTTATATTTATATAATCCTTTATAGGAACACATGGCAACGCACACAGGGGAAACTCTGTACAAATGCCCTTTCTGTACACGAACATTTAACTCAAGCGCGAACATGCACTCACATAAGAAGAAAATGCATCCAGTAGAATGGGATATTTGGCGCAAAGCCAAGATTGGAGATCCACAGTATGTGATAAGTAAACAGCAGACCGATGTATAGGTATTTGAACTATATAGATACAGCGAGTGTCAGTGAAAATGGTGTAGTAAATTTTTTCCACTTCATTTCAATAATAGGTTTGTATAGTAACTTCTCCAGTAAAACATTGCAGCGAGAGCGTAAAAGCAAAATAGAGCGTAAAATTGAGAAGAAGAGAAAACTAGCCGAAAAAGTTAATGAACACCATGGTGGAATAATAACAAGGTGTTGTCAGTAGCGACGTGTCTGTTGTAATTTTGACAAGATCGGCATGCTTATTTTCAGTGCTTCCGATCTTAATTTTTATACTATTATACGTTGGGAAATAGTATCTAAAATACTCCATTTTAGTATTTCGTTTTATAGCGATTTTTAAAGAACTTGGTGTTTTCAGAACGATATTAATATTTAAAATTGCTGGATTTGTATTATTTTTGTCCTCAAAATATAAAATATAAAAGATATCGTGGTTATCAATGGAAAAATACGTACACAAAAATCGTATGGAAAGGCGATTTTTTTATATTAAATATCTTTTGCTGCATTGTCATTATATCGAGCCAAATGGACTACTGATACACTAGAATATAGCGGCAGCACGTTTAGATTACGATTTCGCTTATATTATCGGTATTTATGTGTTTTAATCTATTTAAAAAATCATATACAGTCTTATAGGAAATTTCTTTATTTTATGGCCTTTACTTTTTCATAACTTACAATATATGTCCAAGCTGTGTGGAGCTAACGATACAAACATATATTCAGGCTTATAAGCTTGTAACTATACATTTTCCTACATTTAATTTGAAATAGTATGCACAAACGGATTAAAAGTAATAAATAATTAGTACCTTTTCTACTACTTTAAAATGCGTGACCGGAATAGACCTGCCGAAAAAGTGAGGTTAAGTTACTGACAACACCTTGTTATTATTACACCATGAATGAACACAAAACTAGCAAAAACTTGCAAGTGAACAGCTGTTGCATTGTTTTGACATTCTGCTGTAAACATTTTACGATTTATAAATCATTTTTAAACGTTTTGTTTATTTATTTATTTATTGCAGTCATATGAAACAGACGTTCCTTACAGACTAGAGATAAAAATTTAGCTACTTAGACGATACGTGTAAAACATAAAGCACTCTACAGTTTCGAAATCGAAGAAAAAATAAATAAACTTTTTGGAAGAGAAATCCAGGTAGATAGAATTCGAGATCGTGTTAAATTCGTTTAAAGCTCTTGAAATAGGAGCATTTCTGGCATACTCCGTTTTAAAATTTCCTCCATAAAACGGCAGAGGACTGCGAAGATTCCTTAGAGGAACATTGAAGTTGACCCGCTCTAGGAGCGTAGGGCAATCGATCACACCATTTATTAAGTTAAAGGTAAAAGTTAGAGATAGCAAAGATCTTCTGGCTTCCAGAGATTTAAGGTCTATTAATAGCAAACGAGACTTATACGATGGAATAGGCTCGCTGAAGTTAAGATTTCTGAGGGCAAATTTAAGAAAAACCTTCTGGACCCTTTCAATCCTATTAATTAGGTTTGAGTGGTATGGCCTCCAGATAAAAGAAGCATATTCTAACTTAGAACGAACAAAAGATGTGTATAACAATTTAAGTGTATAGGGGTCAGAGAACATTGAGCTCTGACGCCTGAGAAAACCAAGTACAGCGTAAGATTTAGAAATGATGTGACTGATATGACTGTTAAAAGACCAATTAGAGCTGAAAATTACACCAAGGTCTTTGATTTCTTGGACTTTTTGAAGTTGAGTCTGAGAGATTACATAAGACGTCGAAAGAATATTGTGACTTTTGGAAAAAGTAACTTGAAAACATTTTTTAATATTCAGAGAAAGGCGAGAGCTGAGACACCAGTTGTGTAGAATATTAATCTCGGACTGAAGTCTTAGCGCATCATGCGCGTTTTCAATCACAGCAAAAATTTTTAAATCGTCAGCATACAGCAAAAATTTAGCAAATGAAAAACAAGAACTCACATCATTTATAAATAATACAAAGAGTAAGGGACCTAAAATGCTACCTTAAGGAACCCCCGATGAGGCAATGAAAGATTCCGAAGAACAACCATTAACTGAGACCACACAGCGCCTATCCGACAAATAAGATTTGAGCCATTGCAAAAATTCTGGGTGGAAACCTAGTGAGGCTAGCTTACTGACCAACAAACTGTGCGAAACTCTATCAAATGCTTTGGCAAGATCAGTGTAAATGCAGTCGACTTGGAAACCGTTCGAGATAGCTGCAATACAATACTCACTAAAGACGCCTAGATTAGTAACCGTGCATCGGTTGGGGACGAGAATTTTGTTTATGGATTTAAGTTACTTCATAACGCCTCTTGGGAGAAGTCAAGATCTCCTTGTTGTTGCTGTTGTAGCGGCTACAACAACCCCGCCCAGATCGGTTGGTATCTCAGTCATTGTCAAGTTCCACTAACGGCAACCCTAGGAAGCGTGCAGCTTCTGTGGGGTTTGTCCACAGGGACAAGGCCGTTAGGGTTGTCGGGTTTTCCGGGCATGCGAAGAGATGTTTCGAGTCATGTGGGGTCTCTCCGCATGCCGGACACTCATTCGGCACATCCTCATTCAACCTACTCAAGTAGGAGTTCAACCTGCTGCAGTAGCCGGAGCGAAGTTGTGCGAGTGTAGTGCGTGTCTCCCGAGGCAGATGAAGCTCCGTCTCGTCTATGTCCGGGGGTGGTATGCCTAGAACGGCATTCACAGGTCTAGAGTCTACATAACTCGAGACTGAGTCCCTGTGAATGCCGTTCAGGGCCTGTCTGTAAGCTGTCGGGACCAGAGGTTGCTTAATGAACCTCTGGACTTCGTCCGTCAGTTCATATAGATGCCTCCTGACGTGCCTAGGCGAGGGCGGGAGCCACAGAAGTGGCCACCCAAGCAGACAGCTGCTTGCAGAGCATTATATTATGCTCCTTTACAGGGAGCATTTGCGCCTCGCCGTGCAGGTGGTGTTCAGGCGACATCAAGAGGCATCCCGTCGCTGTCCTGAGTGCGGTGTTCTGTACAGTCTGTAGCTTCGTCCACTGCGTCCTACTAGTCCCTGGCGACCACACTGGCGCTGCGTAGTTCAAAACCTCCAAGGCTACCATCCGTTCCCATAATGTTTTTCTATTATCAAACAACTCAAATATCTGACAAAACCGTTTTAGATCTTCTACACATACACACTTACACAGTGCAGTACATCATTAATATTTTGATTTCCACTCATTTCACTTTTGTTTGTGCTAAACCAATTCAACAAATGGCGGTGAATAACTCAGTGTGAGGGCAGGACCAGGATGAATGTATTTGCATAAAAATTTATTAAAGCAAAAATGTTTTGGGTAGGCGTCGGAGCCAATGATAACCATCAGTTACCACCTCTGCATGATTGTAAGTCATGCAGAGTCCCTACGGCTTGTAGCGCTGTGGCTTTGCTACTTAAACTCCGTAAGAGTTTTTGGGGGTGTGCGTCAAGCGGAGTGTTGAGCACCGGTTATTTATTTAAGTTAAAAAATTGGGTAGGCGCTGTGGCCAATGGTAGCTCTTGTACCACCTCTGTATGCCGAAGGCAATACAGAGCCCCGTGAGACAACTCCGAGAGAGTTGTGATGCATCAAGCAAGTTTGTTGAGCATGATTTGGAGTGCCAGCAATTAACTACTTTAGTAGGTTTTGTTCTGCGGCAGTTGAGAAGTGCATTAAAAAATGCATACCCAATGAAGAACGAACGAATTATTTTTAAGCACAAGTGCGTTTGTTTATTCGCTGCACTTGGTTTTGGGCGGGNGTTTATGCGCTGCACTTGGTTTTGGGCGGGAGTGCAATATACAAGTGCGTGTGTGTGTTCGCTGTTCTTTGTTTATGCGGGAAATGCATAACTCGCTTAAACAGGCGGCTTTTGCCACTTATTCTTCTTCTTCTTCTGCTAGTTGAAATTTCACTAGCAAGAATTTGCAGCTCTCCCGTGTTGTTACGCTCTCGATTAAGTGCTCTCTCGCAAATTTGTTGGGTTATCATACGCTTTTCCAGTAAAAATTTGCAGGTTCCAGTACAAATTAGTACTGACTATTGGTTACTATACAAACCTAATGTTTACGTAATAGCTCATTATCATACAAAATCCATATAAACCCAAATCTCAAACTGTAGAATTTATAGCAATCTTTGATTTGAACTTTGAGTATAGAAAAAATGTTTATCAGGGCTGTTCGGGATCTTGTGCAAATAGTCTTAGATTAGATTAGATTTGAATTTTGTGCTTGCTACCATGGCAACCATCGAAACATATGTTTGTGATCAGCTGATTTTCTTAGGTCGGTGTTATGCATAAATTTTAGGTTTGTTCGTCGAGCAAAAAATTTTACGAATTTGTGCGAATTATCACAATTTTTGCCCAAATCGCGTTCGTGCAGACCAAAAAATTATCCAACACTCAANCAATCACAATGATTATTAATCCTAATCGAAATTCAACTCCAATGAATTTATTGGGTATAAATCTAAAACACCAAACGTTATGCCATAAAAACCTCCAAAAATATGGGTCCATAGAACTTTGCATGCTGATTTCAACANGAGCGACCTTTTTTATGAAAAAAGGAAGTAAATAATTGTTGATATAATTAATTTAGTTAATTCCAATGATTTGAACTTAATTCGGCTGAAAAAAATTTTATTCACAATCGGAATGCAATTGCAACCAGAGTCGATTTAAGGAGCCCGACAGCTATTACGATGAAGAAATTGAAATNAGAAAATTACTCAGCGCAAAAACGTTATCACTTAAAAAAATAAAGGACAGTTCATCTAAACGTGTGATTGCCTCGTTACTTCAGGAACCTAGTAAACTTGCTTAATTTTATTTACGAGATTACGAGGTATTTCTANACAATCGGAATGCAATTGCAACCAGAGTCGATTTAAGGAGCCCGACAGCTATTACGATGAAGAAATTGAAATGTATGTTGAAGAAAGTCAGAACAACAAGAAATATACATGTATATCCTATTTTTGGCCATCCGAAAGAATTTTAAGTTGTGTTTTCGTATTCTCCAGCAAAAAATATCCAGTAACTTGCCAGTAACCAAATNCAAAAAAAAATAAGAATCGCTGATAGTGCTTAGCACTTCATAGAACCTTATAAGTTCAGGTAGATCAAAGGTTAGTACTCTAAAGGCCCGTTGTTCAATGTCTGGTTATCACTACCACTACACTATCGACGATTTCGACATCATGCANTTCTTAGAAAACTGGTATTTTCAATTTTATTATATATTTAAATTGGTTTATTTTGTCAATTGCAACTCTAAAAGCACCACAAACAATTATTTTCTTAATGTGATTTACAATAAGCATCATGCCATCAGCTGTTTTTCTTACTAGCAAATAGTTGCTAGTAAAAATTTATCCAGTAAAAATTNCATGTTATATGCGTGATGTCTAAAACGTCGATAATGATGTTTAACCGGCAAGTAGTGATAACCAGACATTGAACAACCGGCCCTTAGGGATTAACACTAAGCGGAGGTAGAAGCTCTGGTTAAGTACAACGACTGCTTTATCGATNGCTGGATACGCGAACAGGGCTTTAAAAATTCTACAAAAATTTTTTATGTTTGAAATGCAACCGTGGACGCCAGCTGGCAGGGAAACTTGCAAATTTGCGTTCGTGCAGAAATTTGCAAGTTTCTCAACATGAGAGAGAATTTGAGAGAATTTTTTCTTACTCTCCGATATTTTGAGTGTTGGATAATTCTTGCTGGATTTTCGACGAACAAACCTTTTGTTTGGCAAACTGCGTGCAATTGTTGTTGCAGCAAACTCGGAGAGAGCGAGTTTGGCGACTCTCACAGCAAACTAGTTTTGTTTGGTCAAACTGCAGCAAGTTCGGTATTGTCATATACAAAAATTTTAGACAATTGTTGCTATACACAAAAATTGCTGTGATACCGAAAGCCAGAGAACTGAATTTATGCTGTAAGAGCTTCAAAGATTAGGGCACAGTTAATTGCCTATACGATATCATACAAAATATATTAATTGTGCGCGTTATGTACATCTGAAATTCTCATTTCGTGTTGGCAATAGCTATGAAAACCATAAATAACGTGCAACCCTGTGCCAAACTCGACATAACCACCTCCGAGCAAACTAAGCAGCCGCCATTTAATTTGGCAAACAAAAGTTTGTCTGCATAACACCGACCTAACTTGCAAGTTTTCTCTGGGAAAAATTTTTCCATCACATTTCGCTCTCTCAATTTCCCATACTTTGCAAGTTTTTTGGGTACGAGAACGCAAAACCAGTAAAAGTTTTCTAAAACTTTTAATAGTTTTGCGTACAAGTACACTCCTTTTATAATTAGGGAATATTACAGGAGGAGTGGACTCGTACCCAAAACCATGGTGGAAAAATAGTTGCGTTCGCGTAGCTGTTAATTGTTCATGTTTAACCAAAACTTACAAGTTTTTGCGTTCGCGTACGCAAAAAACTTGCAAAGTAGGAGAAGTTGAGAGAGCAAAGTGACATTTCATTTTGAGGGGAAGCTGCTGGTTTCTGCTGGAAAAACAGCTGGTTGGCATTTACGCAAATCACAAAATTGAATTTGATGGTTTGGAAGTTAAAAATTACAAAATGCGACTAATTAAACTTGTAAGAAATAGGTAGTTATTTGTTTAATCAATAATATGACCTTTTTGAATTAGTTATGGCAAATTTTATTATTAATGCTAGTATACAACTAAAAAGAGAATAAAGTTATTAAACGCAAAGTTTGTTGACTTTATTTTTAAAATTCGAAAATACGGTTATTTGGGAGGTGGGGCAGATACTCGTATCTCAAAGACTGCTTGAGTTATGGTGTACACGGACAAAAAATCATTATTACTAATTACCAGATTACGAAGGGAAGTTATAATAATCATTAATATTACAACTGACAAACAATCACAATGATTATTAATCCTAATCGAAATTCAACTCCAATGAATTTATTGGGTATAAATCTAAAACACCAAACGTTATGCCATAAAAACCTCCAAAAATATGGGTCCATAGAACTTTGCATGCTGATTTCAACAACAAGAAAATTACTCAGCGCAAAAACGTTATCACTTAAAAAAATAAAGGACAGTTCATCTAAACGTGTGATTGCCTCGTTACTTCAGGAACCTAGTAAACTTGCTTAATTTTATTTACGAGATTACGAGGTATTTCTAATTAAAAACAAAAAAAAATAAGAATCGCTGATAGTGCTTAGCACTTCATAGAACCTTATAAGTTCAGGTAGATCAAAGGTTAGTACTCTAAAGGCCCGTTGTTCAATGTCTGGTTATCACTACCACTACACTATCGACGATTTCGACATCATGCATGTAACATGTGATCGATAAAGCAGTAGTTGTGCTTAACCGGAACTTCTACCTCCGA